CTATGGGTTACAAAATGGCTACATTCTTATTTTTCTGAAAGGAAACAGTACACTATTCATAAAGGGATGCGCTCCACTTCATTGCTTACTGAAGCTGGTATGCCTCAAGGTGCTGTACTTTCTCCTTTTCTGTTTTCTTTTTTTTGCACTATTTGCCTTATTCTGTTGAAACTAATTTTATCAAGTATGCTGACGATTTCTATTCCAGTAAACTCTTCTTTGGATTGAATGAATGAATTCTTGTCTGAAGTTGGCAAATGGTCTCAAACTAAACCCCTCTATATGTCAGACCGTTAATTTTAGCCTCAGGCGTAAACAAGACTTATGTGAGCTGCTTAAATCTCATGACACCTGCTGCATCAATGGTATTTCTGCAGAAAGTAAATCGAGTGTGAACTATCTTGGGTTGGGTTTTACTTCTGACCTTTGTTGGTCGTCCCATATTTTATTGACTTGTAAAAAATCTTTCGTTTAACTTATTAGGTAAAGAAATTGAGGCTTTTAGGTATAACTCAACTGCTTCTTTTACAATTTATTAATTCCTGCATTTTACCTATTCCTCGTCTCTGTTGTTCCCCATTAATCTTTCCTGGTCTTCTTAAAAAGGACTATGTTATGTTGCATAGGGCTTTGAAGACCGTCAGCAGGGTGAGTGGTGCCTCTGGCTCAACTGATTAACACTGTAGTTGATCGACATATAAATTCCTGCAAGCTACTAGCTCGTCCCAACTTCAATTGAGGACCAGGGATGGCTGAAAGCCAAGATGGTGGATATCGCCCACCAGTTTTGTGATAGCCATCAGAACCAGAAAAGCATTCTAACTTCTGAACATTTCAGAGCTATGAAGGAACTACGAGAGAACCCTGATATTATTATCCTCAGACCTGACAAAGGCTCAGGTGTCGTGATCATGGATAAAATCGAATATAAGTGTAAAATGTCATCGATTCTTGAAGATGAAAATAAATTCACTAAGGATTGTTCTTCAGAAGACGTACAATTGTTACAGGGAACTGTGACCGCTAATCTAGTGAAACTGCTCGAAATGAACGTCATTACCAGTCAAAAATTCGCCCTACTGAATCCCGATTCCCACATCTTTACGGTTTGCCCAAAGTACATAAACCCAACAACCCCTTACGTCCCATAATGTCAATGTGTAAGTCGCCAACGCATAAGCTTGCCCAGTGGCTAGTGGAGTTATTGGATCCCATTAAGAAGCAATTTTGTAAGTATTCCTTAAAAGATACATTTGAAGTAATCAAATGCCTTGAGCATGTCAACATAAAGAGTAAATTTATGTGTTCATTTGATGTTAACTCATTATTTACCAATGTCCCTTTGGTCAAGACAATTGACATTTTATGTGGTTATATTTCTGTGCATAAGTTTCCGATACCCATTACTTTGGATCACCTAAAACAGCTGTTACTTTTATGTACAAACAATATTAAATTCACCTTTGAGGGCGAACATTTCCGCCAGGTTGATGGTGTCGCTATGGGAAGTCCTTTAGGTCCCCTCCTAGCCGACATATTTATGTCACACGTTGAGAACTTAGCCGAGAACTTAATAGACCAAGCCCATCTGTATCGAAGATATGTTGACGATATCCTGATTATTTGTGAAAACTCAAATCAGGCTACTTCAATTCTAAACCGACTGAACGAAGTACAGAACAGCATATCTTTGACATGTGTAAGAGAGGAAGATGACTGCTTGCCGTTCCTAGATATATTAATTAGTCGAAGGCAGGATGGATCCATAAAACGATCTATCTACAGAAAACCTACATGGACAGGGCAATATCTGAATTACCATAGCTTTTGCCCAGTTCAGTACAAGCGAACGTTAGTAAGGTGCTTATTCAGCAGAATTCAACGAATATGCACCGAGGATACTTTAGAAGATGAAAGAGGAACACTGACCGATATTTTGTTGGAAAATAACTATCCATCAACATTTATCAGGCAGAACAAAATCAGCAGAGCGTCAAAACTAGAACTGCAGTCAGTCCCAAAGAAGGATGTCTTCATCAGCCTTCCGTACAAAGGTGACTCTCAGAGTGCAATCCTTAAGCAGAGACTTAACGCTGCTGTTAGAAGGACTTACTATGCAGCCAGGGTTCGAGTAATCGAAACCACGAAGCCCTTATATTCCCCCAAACCCCCACAGCATGTGAACGATAATGTCACATCCCATTGTATCTACCAATTCAAATGTACGTGTGGTGACACATACATAGGGAGGACTAATAGATCCATGCAAGTAAGGGCCTCGGAACATATTCCAAAGTGGCTTCAGAAGCAAATTAAATCACCTGAACCTATAAATGTTGGTAGCAGACGTCCAAGTTCTTCGATCGCTAAACATATCGTTGAGACAGGTCACAAGATTGATGTGGCTACTTCCTTTACACCTATTTACAAAACATGTTGGGGAGGGATCCTGAAATTTGTTGAAGCCTTAGCTATTAGGAAGTTGAAACCACCTTTATGTATTCATAAACAATTTGTTGTCACATTAAACCTTCCTTGGTAAATTCAACTATTGAAAAACCAAGTTCGATGTACTATTATTTTTTCGCTCTATTGATTTTCATTGTTATTCGGCCTTTAAGTCAGCCTTCCTACCTGACCCCTTTTTATTTTCTCACCCCTTATCTTCATGAGTTTTTATATAAATACCTATGACAAGTACGTGTGTGATCAGATAGTTCGAAATGTGTTGCGCAAATACATTACACGGTTCAGACAATTTACGTCTTCTTATTGTTTTGTCGAAGCTACTAGCTACAGAAATTTTAACTGACAGTGAGCATCCAGTTCATTTACAGCTCTCTCCATATATATCTCCTCAGGGAGGACAAGGAGAAACTACATAAAACTGTATGCTCGTACAGCTAAGCATAAGAATTCGACTGTACCTTACTTGCACGCATATTTTGTGAGGGAAAAAGTGTTAGAACAGAAATTATACATCAACTTTGTGACAGTTAAAAATCTCATTTCAATAATTCAACTTACAATGCAAAGTTTTCTCGTTTTTAATATTCTTCACATAACTTAAATTCTTATAATAAAACAATTTAATAAAAGGCTGCAAAGTAGTATGTATATACTTATATTTTGTTGTTATTGCAATATATATTACGCTGAGAATTCCAAATTGTACCACAAATTGTTTGGTACAAAATGAATTATTATTATTATTAAAAAAACTTATAAAGATGGGAAGTTATTCAATTTTCAGGACAGGTGAATAAAAGAGCTTGGAAAGCAGTTTGGTTGGCTTTTGGAGAGCGGTGGATTGCCCTATAACCAACTGAGATCTCAGCTTAAAAAATAATGAGTAGTGGGCCCCGATATATTCCTCCTAGTACTCTTGATTCAAAGGTTTTAGTGACAAAGCGTACCTTCGCAAAAAAGAGTAGCTTCGTTACAAATGTTGACTGACAACTGAAAGTAAAATGAAAATTTTGGCCGCGGCAGGATTCGAACCTGCAATTAATGAGTTTCTGGCCCAGTACTCTGCCAACTCCTAATCAGATAATTCCTGTCAGTTCTCAATACAACAACATGGAGTGAAGCGGTTGCGTTATTGATATGAAAGTTCTTACATGTTCTACTATCGAGATTCAACATATGATGAAATTTTGAACATCCACAGAATCGGATGTGCTCAATAAAGTTGGTCATCACTTAACTAATATGTCAATGATAAAGAGGCCTCAATGCGAGCAGATGAAGATATGGCGCCAGTTTTCGAGTATTAGACTGAGACAGCGCTTTGACGCAGATAAAGCTGGGTTTACACCTTCATTTAAACCAAGAACAACTTTGTTATAAAAACGAAAAGAAAGTACAATATGAAAGTCACTACTACACTATCCTATTTTCATTTAACAGATGATGGCACTTTTTTTTACAGTAATACTGTATATAATATCCCATTTTTATAAACTTTTCTGACATCCCTAAAAGTAACCATCACTTAGTCGAAGTTACTTAATGCATGTACAAAGTGAATTACTATATTTTGTTAAATATACAGAGGTGGGTCAGATTGTGATTATGGTAAAGATCTACTAAACAAACAGAGGCTAAGATAAGAAACTATATGGCTAATCAGTATGAGAAATGAGTGTATTCAAGATCCCATGTGGAATTATTCACGTCGTACACTAACATAGTTATTCTTCCCTAGTAATTTATCTTTCCTATTATATCTAATTTTGTATTTCATTGATGTCATCATTTTCATTTCCTAATATTTATTTTCCAGTACTAATTTCTTTATACTTTTACTAATTAGCTATTTGTTTAAAATTTCTAGAGTACTGAAAATTATTTATTGGATTTCTCCTCCTTTTTACTTCTTCTAACTATTCAAATGTCAACTAATCGTAAAACATACTCTCACCAACTCCCAAAATCTCTTCAACTCATCGTTAAACGCGTTAACAACAAGACTATGAGAAAATATCACAGTAGATGGCAGTCGGCGTCTGTTCACACAATACCACATCATATAGCTATTACAGGAACATATAACTAAACACAACAAATTTTCATATTGGATGAATGAACCTGCATCGCGAAACTCACAGGCGCTTTTCTATCCGACTCACGTACAACAACATACAAACTAGATGACCACCTAAAAACTACTCGTTGTTGTGCATTACTGCCTATCATACTATGATTATTAAAAGTATCCAACTCCTAGAGCTTTTTAATACGAAAATTACACTGAGAATTGTCTGAAATATAGTGATTATTGTTATCATTGATAATTTTCACTTTGAACTGCTACATAGTGATTAATAAAAGTACTTTGGTTAACTGGCATTTCGCGGACCTTTCTATAATTTCGTTTTCATACTTTTTTCTATTTACATGGCGGTGAACATGAACACAAACATAATTCCATGATGCATATATCGTTCTTTCGAAGAAAATAGGAACTAAACACATTTTTCAACAAATTCTTTTCAGTGGATCCGAGTTTATGATCCTATTCATATAGGTTTCTGTTACGCTAACCGCCTATCAAAACATACGCCATAGCCTTGAAACGTATTATTATTATTATTATTTTCTCTTCTTATCCCACTTAGATTCATTTCTCGTATGTACAACATTTAAACATCATAACCTTGACAGTTTTAAAGTTGGCACACTGGCTCACAATCCCATCGCATTATACTTCAGAGTAGACTCAAAAAAATGAATAAATAAATAAAGGTTAACTATCAATGGTAAATGGTCTTCTCTTTCAAAAATATACACTGTACATAAGGGACATTTTTTTGCCCTAGGTAATAATTAGTGTGCATTTTAACTAGACATGACATCCGATTTGACTAATTCTACACGTGGAACAAGTGTATTTGGAAGACAAAATACACGACATGGTAAAATTGTAAGGATAGATATTCTGCATTGTTTAGAGCTTTGTACACTACGGCTTTTATGTAAATCATCCCATGTAACAGTAATTGAGCGACCCAACTCTGAGATAAATTTTTTTGCATGATTTTTATTCTCGGACTTTCCATTGGATTCCAATGTTTTATTTCCTGAATCATTATTCATCTTCACGGTTTCATTGAATTTCCAATAAGAAACATGTTTTAAGAACTAAATTACGAAAAGGATACATGTAATAAATGAGTTATTAGGAGATGTATAGGCAATTTCAAGTTGACATAAATTAATGTATGAATGAATCAACACTAACTTACCTCTTTAATTTCTGTTTCGATAACTAAACCAAACGAACTGATCATAATTCTGATTCTATTAGATGACAACCCCATAACAACTCCATTCTCATAAAACGGACCAGAATTCTTATTTACAAAGAGAGATAGAGAGCAAGAAAATATAAATGCTAACTACTCAGTTTGAGTTTAAAAACGAAATATTACAACAAAAATGACACTATACTCAAATATGATATACTTCATCATATCTAGACTCATTATCCTTCGATTTGAAATGAAACCATTTCTATTATTATTACTTTTACCTTGAGTTCCTAGTGGAACACAAGGCTTCAGTAGCACGTCATCACTCCACTCTCCTTTCTGCAGTATTTTCAACATTGCATGACAACTGCCTATAAGCTTTGATTTCTTCCTTACACGATCTCCTCCATATCACCCTCGCCTCGGACACCGAACTCGTCGTTTCCATTTGGGTTCCACTCGAGGACATGGTGTGTGTTGTTCCCAAATGGTCTTCTCAGTGTATGTCCATACTTTTTACAAAGTTGAAAGGAAGTACAACAAATTTAAAATAAGTAGCATCTACCACCCTTAGTGAAACATATGGGGATAGAGAAAAACCAATCAAAACGTGGTTTATGTTATTACGTCTATAGTTAGACAGATAGACAGACGGTAAAATCAGCCAATGCATAATAACTACCTCTGAGCTCAGAGAACACAATACAACCAAGACCATCCACCTGAGATATAAATATTCTCCATTATTTTATAATAACTATCTATAATTTTTTATGCTACCTGATTGATTAATTGACTGAGTAATTCCACTAGATATGAAAATGTTAGTGAAATTACTCATGACTAAATACTTACAACATTCTCGTCTCTTCTATATAAAACAGATTTCAATTACAAATGGTGTGGTCGCTTGAAGAATGGACACATTTGTGAAAACAGTCAATTAGAGATCGTATATTTTTACCTAGGCTTAGACACTTTTCCCCTGTGTTATTCTGCAGTTAGGAAATGCTGATCTTCTGCTGTTCATTAAGGAGACAGTAACTTTTATGACGAAGGTCACGAGGTTGTACGAATTCATCATCATCAATATCAACATAGGACCAGGCATCATTGCGTAACGGTCTGAGTCACCACACCTCCTATCAGTACATCAAGTAGAAAGGTAGTGAGGTGAAGGATGAAGATAAGAGAATGCAGTCAAAAGAAATAGTAAGCACGAGGAAAAAGAAAGGAAGAATGATAAAATGGTGAGATTGTGTATAGCATCGTTAAGATGAGGATAATATGTGTATACATCTGCGCCACTAATATCGGTTCTGAGCAATATCACCTAGAGTATCCAACCACTGGTTCCTCTTGTCCCGCGTACCCCAACCACCTAGTCTGCATCGCCCCGGTTGTACGAATTACCAGCGCGATTGTGCTAGATAGACATATTAACAAAGAACATAGGACGGAAAGACAACAGTTAAACTTGCCATACTACACAGTAGCATGCAAAAAAGAAATGAAAAGAGCAACAATGATATTAAAGTAGACAAAGGCAGGTTAAACCAAAGCAGAACCTCACACACAACTATATCCATCAAAGTTGCCACAATTCACAGCAAAAGTTGACAAAAGACAATCAAAGGAGAGACAGACAATAGTCAACACTTCCAAAATCATAAAGTGTGCACATATCTCCACTCATCCCATCGATTTTCAGCCATATCAACAACACCTTGCAAACACTCATTCCTCTTATCTCAACGAGCACAGTCAAGTGATTTACACATACTTAAACAACTCACATCGACAGTCAGAGACTTCAATAAGTGGTACCATGTCACCGTATACCTATCTATAACTTTCTTTCAACATACTCCTGATTCACCTAATATAGCTAGCTAGTTGAGATAAGTGACGATTCGGCATGGACTACACAAGTTTACAGTCGTACCAACTGATTTGCTTTCCTCATCTATTACTATGCCTAATCTCAACAACAATCACTCCACCTCACACAGCCAATGATACGGAGACATTAATGGTTGAGAACGTTTTCTGCTTGGAAGGGTCATTTCTCAGGACACAATGCTGCACTGTAGTCGAGTTTCTCACTGTCACCAAATGTTGTCGAATATCCAAAGAGCGTTAAAAATCTGAGGTGAAATTTCGTCAGCAATCACAATTCAATGAGGTTGACTGAACTATCCAAGAAAAAGAAGTGGTGAACGCATATGTTAACACAAAAAAAATCTCTCCAACTCACCTTAAATTCTCTTCCTTAATTCCATAACGAACACTATTTCTCCTAATCTTTTCTCCTTTTTTTAACCACTGTTAACGATTTAAACTAATGAGACATAATTTCTAGCGCTTCAAACCAAGTTATTTACTTCTTTCAATTTGTCAGCTTCTTGACAGATTGAGAAGTAAGATTCACTTAACACAACTATGCTGTGCGAAATAAGGATACTTGTTATGTTTTCTGTGACGTATAAATAAAGAACTAGGATGATCACGAAAACTTGTAATGTACATGATGCATCGATAACTATTTTCTAAGGCTTGTGACTACAGTTTGGACGATCTAGAAGACGATTTTCATCCATATGTTAACATCAATAAGTGATGTTACTGTGAACAGTAATTACCTCTTCTTTTTTTTTTTTTTTGCTTTGAGGTACAATGAAGGTGTACACTGCTTAGCTAGAGATTGTTAGAAATATTCTGGGTGAAAATACCTGAATTCAATCAAAGTGATGAATATGTTCAGAATGGTGAATACTTACTTTCATTTACTTATTTTTCAATATCTAACCCTTTCAGTCACCTTTCACATTACTTATTATTTTCAACTCTGATAACTTGAGGTTCTAGATTCGTGTATTTTTTAAAACTGCAATATTTCATATACCTATGGGGTTGAATAGATGACATTACTGTCCAAATTGTAGATTGGCTTATAGAGATAGCTTTCAACAATTGCATAATAAAGACTTAATAAGCCAGGTAGTATCGTTAGCCTTTACACAATAGGTATGATTTATTGCTTAGCGTACATTAACAGCTAGTTTATCGAAAATAGAACATCTAAGTTAAATTACTTTAATAGAAATTCAGACTTTAATTAAAGTGAATAATATTATCAATGAAAAAAGAAACTCACTCTAAGACAAGCTGTTAAAAAGAGACGTTGACTTGCTTCACTAGCTCGTCTAGCATTTAATCGTCGATCATTACACCAAGCAGCTAATAATTCCATTTTTGAAATACCTATTGAATTAATATAACTTTGAATATAATTTGATTTTGGTTGAAAAGATGTTTTAATTCAGGATAAATTGAATCATCACATCCCAATATAAATGCCATTTGACGGTGTACTACTAAATCTGCATACCTTCTAATAGGTGATGTGAAATGGGTATACAATGGTATACTAAGACCATAATGCCATGTATAATTCAAAATATTTTTACGCTTTTGTTTTTTTATCAATTCACGATTTAAAGATAATGTTCGTAGGTAATAAGAAGTAGGCCGAGTCTTTCCTAAAAAGTCTATTTTCTGGTTTCGTTTACAAAGTATATTATATACGCTCTCTAGATTAAAATACAACGCTACCTGAAATTAAAAAAAAAAAAATCGAAATGTTTTATTATGAAAGTGTAACGAAATATTTAAATATAGATATCCAAATCAAGTTGAGATATGATGGTTGCCTTCAGTCTCTCTGAAGGAGAGCGGATTAATACGATTAATAAAAGCCATTAAGCATGTATATTCTCACAATACTCCTACAACAAATGAACACCAATGTCCCATTGCATTTACCAATTCAAATGGTAACACACACATAAAGGAAGGAAGGATTCAAACATCCATACAAGTAAGCACTTCAAAACATATTCCAAAGTAACTTCAAAAGCAAAATCAATCACCTAAACCCATAAACATTAGTAGAAGACGTGCTACTTCTTCAATCACCAAATATCTCGTTGAGACAGGTCACAAGATTGATGTGGCTACTTCCTTTACACCTATTTACAAAACATGTTAGGGATGGATCCTTAGATTTGTTGTGGCCTCAGCTATTAGGAAGTTTAAATCACCTTTGTGTGATTAGGAACAATTTCTTATCATATTATATCTTCATTGGTGGATTCAATTCTGAAACCGGGTTCGATGTACTATTATTTTTGCTCTATTGATTTTTATTGGCCTTCTTTTCAGTTTCTCACTTATTTTTATCAGTTTTCATTTATATAACCTATGACTAGTACGTGTGTGATCAGGTAGCTTGAGATATTTTGCGCAAATATATTACACGTTTCAGACAACCTACATCTTCTTTTTGTTATGTGGAACATAATTTATTGTTCATCTTCATATCACAACTTTGAAATATCCTTTATATAGTTGGTCCTAATTTCCTCGCACTCTATGATATGGATAGTAGGATTTTCCATATAACAGGAACAGGTAGTGAGTCATTCCTGTTACATGTATTACGTGTTGATTCGATAAACGCAGATTCAGTTATCAATCTCTGCCTCCACTACTCTACTATGTCTTTTAGTAGCGGATGAAATGAAAGAGATAAGGAATTAAGATATGTGAACAAAATAAGATAAATAATTTTTCGGTAAAATTCATTCACAAAATAGAAAATAACATAAAATTAGATCGTAAAACTGCTCTTAAATCATGGGCCTTAACAACAGATCACATACGTCAGATGAAATTACGAGAGTGCTGAACAAATAAAATCAATATCAGAGTCTTCTACAGAACATCAAACACATTGCAGAGCACTTAAGTTCATTTGAACTACGAGATCTATCTAGATTCACAATCTAATTGTGTTTATAAAATAAAATGCTCAGACTGTTATGTAATTTACACAGGACAAATATCCCATGAAATCAAAATTAAGAAAAATGAACGCAGAAGAGCTTCTACCCAATTACCTAGGAATTCAGTATAAGTGAAAAAAACAAACAAACTTGAATAACACTTGAGCAATAGATCTACACATGCTATAATTTGAGGTTATAAGGTCGATTTCGACAATGTCAAAACTACTCAGAAAGGTTTTTAGAAATTATACAGAACGTCTCCTGTAACAGAATGAGGGGGTAAAATGTAGCTTAACCTAGTTTCAACCCCCCCCCCCTACATACTCACATAACCAACATACATCAAGGTGATGACAACTAACAACACATGTGTACACATAAATCTCAGTCTATAATTCATATACTCTTTACACACTACATATAGATATATCATTTATTCTACAATTCTGACGACTCAGAATCATTCATGCGGAAGAACACTTGTCAAGTTATCATATATAAGCTTGGATAAAAAACCTTCGATTAGCAGGCTTAAATAGCAAAACGTCAGTTGAAACAAATTTATTTTGTTTTACATTCTCACTGCGAAGTATAAAGACGAAAATAATAAAGATTGGTAAATAGGTTTCTTTTTAAATAAGAAGAAAATTTTATATATCTTTCTTAACAAGATTTGATAATCCACTTTTTCTTCATATAATAGGATGTGATATTCATTGGAAAAAGCATACACATAATACTTACTGAACAGCAAAAAAACAAAGGATAACATCATAGTTTGATAAAGACACGACTGATGATAGTGTTGAAAATATTTGATGGAGAAATTTTTTCTCTCATAATTTCATAATCTTTTTTTTTTAATGAAACCAAGAAAAAAGTACTTAAAAATACAGCCATATTTATCATGTATATACTGTCTTATATTATATGAAATGTATATTATAAAGCAAACTTCCTTAGAATTAATATAGTTTCTTAAAATGATGACCTTTATTTCACTTCAGGATAAATGCGAATATATGATAGTTCAAATAATGATAAGAATATAAACATAAAATTAGTTATTATACTGAACTTACAGAAAGGCGAACATATGTCATATAACTTAGAGAACATATTAAATCCCCTAGAAGTGATTTATCATTGCATTTTTCATCATCAACAACACTGTGTGCTAACTTTTTAATTGATTCCTGTAAAAAGAATACAATGAAGATGAAATCTATTATCTAACATGAATTAATGAAGTAAATAGTTTAAAAATGATATTTTCTTGTAATTACACTCATTATACATGACTTCATAGAGATTTAAAGAATTCAATGACTAATTTGTAGATTTTGAAATCAAATATTTATGAATAGGTATGAGTTCTTACACTTTAAATAAAGACTGAATGCTCATATGAAGAGGAATAGAGAGATATGACTAGTCTAGAGAGGGACTAGTTAGACAGACAGAGGGTGAGTCAGTCAATGAATAAACAGCGAACTATATATACATAGTAGATATATTTTCCTTCGTTTTTAGGGTATTCGATCTTTCAACCCCAATACACGTGTATACACTTTAATTGTCAAGTCAGTTCTTCTATCTCATGGTTCACACACTTCGCAGCGCATTACCAAAACCATTTCCAACAAACAACTGCACACACACTTCATCAACACCTACCGTCTACGCTCACTCCATACTCACACTGAACATCAGATAGATGGCCAGAATAATTACAATAAGCAATGAGGAACTCACTCTAGACAGCCAGCCAACCAACAACCTATCACCCAACAAATATACAGAAGGTGGAGATGGATTCAACTGCACTGGACTGGACTAGACTGGACATACACTGAGAAGACCATTTGGGAACATCACACACCATGTCATCGAGTGGAACCCAAATGGAAAACGACGAGTTCGGTGTCCGAGGCGAGGGTGATATGGAGGAGATCGTGTAAGGAAGAAATCAAAGCTTATAGGCAGTTGTCGGGCCATGTTGAAAATACTGCAGAAAGGAGAGTGGAGTGATGACGTGCTACTGAAGCCTTGTGTTCCACTAGGATACCCAAGGGAATAATAATACACATTTATTGTGACCTCTTCATTGACTAGTCGGCTCGGGTTGGGAATGAACTAGGAATTTGTTAAATGTTGGTGGCTGACACTCAATATTTGTGCATCGTTAGCAGACACACAGCATAGCAATTTCCAAATCACAACAGTTGCGAGGGAAACGGGATATCGGGAAATGGATTCTTCGAAGTTAGACAATTTCCTTGAACAACAGATGTGGATTTTTGAGATACTTATGTAGTCCAAAATTTCTGGTACTTGATCCTCGCTCACTACGCCAGTTTTAATAGCTTCTTTAGTTGATGGCATCACCAATAGCCTCACTGAATTATGCTTAGACCCTGATGCTAATGAGACTTTCGATAATTGGTTCAGGTGTTACGGAGACCATTTCAAACTGAATTTTGCTGGCTAAGATAATTCCTGGAAGGTACATCCCCTACTTCAAACGTCTGGTCCACCTGAGCTCGACCAGTACTGCAACATTATTTCGCCGCAGAATCCACGTGATCGCAGTTTCGACACTACAGTCCTGACACTGCATGATTTGTCTGCAGTATATCAACGACTGGGCAACCTGCAGCGTGATACGAGTTTAGCCCAATCCGAATCCTAGGAAGGTTCTGAAGTACATACAGTTCGCCGGACATCTCATTCCTCTGCATCACCCTCTAAGCTTTATCTTGCCTGTTCATCGGCCCAGTAACTCATACGGTACCAACCGACCCTCGAAGAAGACATCCTTATCGATTTGCTGGGATTGTGGTGCCTGGCATTCTATCAAATCTTATCCTAATAAAGAATACCGGGACTGAAATGCTGGGGGCCGTAAGGACGACTTTGCCGCCAATATATACAACGACATATACAAAGTCATCCTTCAGATATCACCGCAGATCTCATTCTCGAATGGTAGGTAAGTCTTTTGGCTTCAGAGCTGATTTTCATGCTTTGCCCCCCCAACAAAAGAATATTGAGAAGACTACTGATACCCCAGTGAAGAAATAGAAGTTCCCTCTGCGTCGGTTAGATAAATACAAGAAAAGGACAGTGCGGTCCAGTCTGACCTCGAATAACATTTTTCCGAAGAGGGAAGTGATATAGGAATAGGGAGAAATGACTAATCTGGAGAGGGACCAATCAAAATGTACTAAGAATACAATTCAACCTATAGACTAGAATGTTACACAAATACGCTTTAGAAGACTCCAATACTTACTGCAACGGATGCTGAATCGGAGATATCCAGATTTATACCATACATTTTTGCTATCTGTATCTGGAGAAGAAAAAGAAAGAATTAATAAAAATAATTACATCAACTAGCATCATCTGTAAGAAAATAAAGACATATTTTATCAACAGAGCGAAAATAATAGTATATCAAACTCGGGTTTTCATAGTTGAAGTTAACAAGGAAGATTTAATGTGATAGCTGACATATTTATGTCAAACGTAAAAAACTTAGTCAAGAACCTAAATGGGCAAGCCATCTGTACCGAAGATATGTTGACGGTATCCTGATTACTTGTGAAAACTCAAGTGTCTACTTCAATTCTAGACCAACTGAACGAAGTACAACACAGCATATCCTTGACATGTGTAGAAAAGGAAGATAGCTGCCACCTTGACGTGGTGGTCGGGCTTGCATATCACAATGACCCAACGAGCTATGCTGATGGAACACTTACCTCCCCGAGGTCCTACCATACCAGAAAGGTCTGTTGGATAGTGGTTAGACGAAAAGCAGTTACCGTTGTGGTTTAAATTACTACACAATGATGGGGGGTCTGAGGGCGAAAACATACTGCTGCTAGCTAGATGGGATGTGACAGTAGTAAGGGGTTTCCCTTCGATGACCAGCAGTACAATGCTGTCTTCTCAGTGCAAGCAGGGGATAGAAAAGGTTGGCCAGAAAAAAAACACTCTACCATGCCCCACGGTCTGCCGGGCCGGTGGTGTTGGTTCATTTGTCGTTTCCTTTCGACCATCCGGCCCCAAAAATACAAAACTTCAAGATAATCATACGTGTGATAGGCCTCAAGCAGATGTCCGATAGGCTCTGTGGTCACACAAATCTCTTTCAAGCATCTTAGGAAGAAACAGCCTTCCACGGTGTGGGCAGTCGGAAAGTGTCAACCGCCCTCACAACTCAATGATGAGGACACACACACACATAAAGGAAGGAAGGACTCAAACATCCATGCAAGTAAGCACTTCAAAACATATTCCAAAGTAACTTCAAAAGCAAAATCAATCACCTAAACCCATAAACATTAGTAGAAGACGTGCTACTTCTTCAATCACCAAATATCTCGTTGAGACAGGTCACAAGATTGATGTGGCTACTTCCTTTACACCTATTTACAAAACATGTTAGGGATGGATCCTTAGATTTGTTGTGGCCTCAGCTATTAGGAAGTTTAAATCATCTTTGTGTGATTAGAAACAATTTCTTATCATATTATATCTTCATTGGTGGATTCAATTCTGAAACCGGGTTCGATGTACTATTATTTGAATAAGGTTTATAATTAAATGTTACTAGGGAAAAAAAAAACTTAGTTATCATGAGAGTATTTGAGATAAAAACGCACAATAAAATAGTAATCTTTAGAGTATAATCTAGGGAAAGAGTTCACTCTTTTTGTATATTATAGATGATAGGTACGTAAGCATAAGTTGAAAATGTACCTCGGAAAATATCAACATCAACATGAAAATGTATGAAATGTATGCAGAGACATGTATGTAGTCAGAATGTCTACACAACAGTACTGATTGTTATAAAAGACAAAAAACAATCTAATGACTTTAGTAATGATGGGCAGTGGCTAGCACCATTACTAAACATAGTTAAAAGACAGGCAATATCGAGGCATCCGCATAGGAGCCCATATGCCAACAGAGACTGATCAATTCGGTCCAATCAACGACGGTGTAATACAAACAATAACACTAATGACTTCAGCTTTTATACTCCAAATTAACTGTACATAGAAAGTTACATGATAGTAATTTATATCATATCGATTTTTATTTATTACCAGTATGTAACAGTATAATTCCATTAAATGATGAGATAACAAGTCAACCTATAAAATACCATTGAGTATGGGTTAATGGTATCTTTATCTCCTGACCGCTTGTCACTTATATATCTACACTTATCGTATAAGTTTGTACCTGAAAACGTATCATTGATAATTGTTTATTGTACTTTGAGGTCTGTTCTTGGAGACTGTGTCCTCAAAATACTAGGCTTTGTTTTTTCAAACTTGCTGAGATACACGGAAATTGATGTAATTGCAAAAGAACTAGTTATAAAATGAACTTAAAAACTAATGATAATTATCATTAAAAGTTACAAAACTATGACACAGTTTAGACAACGTAGTACATACAATTGAACCTATTCACAAACAAAAAATTTTACTCTAAGAAATCAGAACATAAACATCCATCAGGTTTAATGATAACTTGAAGATGAATGATAACAATCATGATGATCGCGACCACCAGGTTTCCGGTCGCGGTGCAAATTTTCATCTCACCTTCAGTCATCACCCAGTTACAAATACTAGTCTTTCAAACTACGGCTAACTCAGATAGTCAAATGATAAAAAATAAATAAGTATACCGATATTATGAGACCGATTTCGAAGATAAAACCTTCAAATTAAATAATCTTACAGTTCGTTCGTGATACCGCGCACAGAGGCAGAAAAACCACAAAATTTCTGATAAACAAAGAACTACTACCCCGGCGTTGGTCAGATAAGCGCAGAAATTGGACAGTTGAGTTTTAGGGGATCCCAAGTAACAGACCCAATTTTTTTTAAAAAAATGGGGAGATGTTAGGGATACCTAATCTCTAAGAAAACTAACTTATAAAATGTGTATATTGTCAATGTAAATTTAACCCTTATTTACGCACATCTTTTGTGCCGTGCTATGTTACTTATTTTCAACGCAGTTTAGGATACTCAACTCTAATTGGTCCATTTTTCACTTTTAATATGCTATTTTGTTTTCTTTAGCCAAGGTCACCTAAGAATATATATAAACGACTGAGTTTTCAGCTATGAAATTATTCGGTTGAAGTAAATATACTTTCAATCCCATCATCTTCTTCTGGTGTCAGCTGGATATCGAGTTGAAAAGTCATTGCTCTATCGTTAATGGCATCGCATCGGAGAATTATATCGTTACATATACTGCGGATCATAATACTTACTACTTCAACATATCAATGTCAAGCTGTTTATTAAATAAGCGTACTTCACAAAAATTTCTAATTTTGTTGTGTTTATTCAAAATATTTCCGATTTCTTCACGAATTAGATTCGGTGAGGATATATTTACCACAAGAAAATGTTTTTTTGTAATACATAGAAACTTTCTAAAAACAGAAGAACTTCCTGTAGTTAAATAACTTTGCTTAATTTACAATCTGCATCATAATTAAGGCATACCGCATAAAAAAGTTCGTTGATGTGAATATATCTAGGACACAACAATAACCCTTAACAAAATCGAATCGAAATACATTCAGCAACCTTGTGTACATCGATGCAGTAGGCAATCAGTCACATCTATTGTATAAGGGCTAATATGATAATTCGTGGCTGCCCAAACTTTAGTAGGTGAAGGGAGGCTCGAATCTATGAACCAATAGTTGGTAGTTAACTTCCGAAACCACTGAGCCATACACACAAATGTCCACTAAGGTCATCCCAAAATAGATAATGGATACAAAACATAAATACGCCTAAAGCGAAGTCAATGCAGAAGTAAACCCAAGAAAAGAAAGACAAATTAAAGTATCACAGATTAAAATTACCAACTGGTTAAATTTTCTCTCATCAGGTTTTGCATGATTCCTTAGCAGAGCACCACACCTTTGACGACTCTTTTCGCTGATATTATCAACCGAAAAACCCTGTTTACCTTTAAAACTCATAATACAATTGCGAAATAGAAATCTGGCAACAGCTTGGTTGGCAGCAATCATCCATTCTTCAACTAAATAGTGAGCAGGATTGCGTACTTTTACAGAAAATCCCTGAGGCCAAACATTCCCTGAGCTATAATACAATACATTTTTCAAAAAAGAGGAAACATTCGTAAATTGAGATCACGAAATACAACTATGAATCCAGCACCAGTAAATAGAATATGAAATAGATGACTTGAATACAATGAAACCAAAAAAAGGTCTGATTGTAGTAATTCATAACTTCAGATACCGGTTTATTTACAACATAACTAGAGCATAAAAATATATGATACTTATCGATTCGTTCGATCGAAATATATGGATCAAGTTGTGAACTAGGAAAACCAATTTTCAATAAAACTGCCGAGTCAGAGTCCTTGGGAACCTACAACGTTCAACCTCCTTATACACATCAATCCATATCTTGGATGCATATAAGATTCTATTACGACGGTTCTTAGATTAGATATACACTCTAACTTGACAGACAGTCAGTCAGTATTAATGGAGATCAAAGGTTCTGGAATGTCGTTGTTTGACAGATGGACATACAAATTAACATAACATATACTGCATTTAGTCTACTGATGCAGTGTACTTCGTTCGTTCAACTGTTTGTTTTTTTTTAACAAAATTATTTTTCATGCGTTATAACGCTTTTTACATTTATTTGACTGAACTGGTAATTGTTGGATGCATGAACAACAAAAACTTTTGAAGAATTCAACCTTTCAATAATTAGTTTTCAGATAGATATTAGTTAGTGAGTAGATTTGCTCTTCTTCGAATAAGGTTACTTCTGTAATAAGTTATGCATGTCAAATTATCATTATTATTTGCCCCTTGGGTTCCTAATGGAACAAAGGGATTCAGTAGCACGTCTCCAGTGACCTCTGTTCTCTGAAATCTTTTGAACCTGGTTCCACGACAGCCCACAAGCACTCATTTCCTCCTCACACGATCTCCTCCATGTCACCCTCTAATCGGACGCCCAACTCGTCGCTTCCCATGGGGATTCCACTCGACGGCCTGGCCTGGCCTGGCCTGGCACGTGATGTCCCCAATCGGCCTTCTCAGTGTATGCCCAACCCATCTCCACTTCCTTCCACTGCATATTTGTTCAGCGATAGCTTCTTGATTGGTTCGTTGGCAGACCACAGTTCCTTGTTGCTTATTCTGATTATTCTGGCCATCTAACTGATCTTCAGTAACGAGCTAGCGTAAGCGGCAGTTGTTGATGAATGTCTGTAGTTTGTTGGAAATCCCTTTCGTAACGCGCAAAGTCTCTCAATCATCACACAGAAGCACTGACGTGGCGTTGGTGTTGAAAATCCGGATGTTGTTCACACTTTATGCTGAGTGCAGAAGATATCCACACTGGTTTCAGGCTAATGAACGCCTGTCTTGCTTTTACGATTTTTTAAAGCTTAACGAAGTCATTCGCTCAGTGAACAACGGTAACAATTTTTTTTAAAGTCGCTGACATAACTTCTACGAGTGAGGAGGAAAGGTAATGACAACGAAAAAAAAATTACTATTGGATGAAATCGGTATACTTACTCATCAACGTTTATTTTTCCTCTGGCCTCTGCATTCTTTTCTGTAGAAAGTGGTGCTGGAAGATGAAAACTTAATTCTAGTTTTTCCAAAGACAAGGCTCCATTTTCTATTCGAGAATTACGTAGATTTTGAGCAATCTATTATGAAAATAACAATTATTTTGTAAATAAATATACTGAGGCAAACGAATAGTAGTAAACATTTACTGTGAAAAACTTTTTTAGTGTTCGTAGAAAAGTGCGTCTAAACAGTGATTATAGTGAACAGTAGGTAAAGTAGTTAGGCCAAACATGAAGTATATTTCTTCTGTAACTAGAATACATATATCTCACTGAAAAGATGGGCTGAGCTTCTCAGTACCTATACTGTGTAGTGTCTAACTAGGGATTTTTAATCAATCCATTTTTTATCAATGTGTTTCTAAAAGAAAATTTCTCCTCTTTAACCTCAGTTGGATCAATCATCTCACTGGAGGATTATTATTACTTGTTTTAGAAACGCATTCATGAGGTATGAAGTAACAAATAAAACAGATCAATTAACTGAAGAGGTTTGAAACTGCTGTCAGACTGACTAATTCAGTTTACAGGAGATATAAGTGTTTAACCAGTAGCGAGAAGATGGGGAAACGCTGGCGAGATCAATGAAAAGACTCTAGAAAATTTGGATTTCGCCCATGATGATTCATGTCTAATTTCCTGTCGCACAAACTCGAACATCTACAGGCGAAAACTAACAAGCTAGCAGAAGAAGCGCCGGGAATTCAGCTGAATGTAGAGAAGACACAGGTGATGAAGATAACCAACTACCAGTAATAAGCACCAATCATCACCAATGAAAGAAAAATTCTAAACAAAATTGCCTCCACCTACAACCCCCCCCCCCATAGACACCATCCTCTCAAACACACGTGGCGGCAGAGGCACAGATAAGGACGTCAAAGCCACGATCACAAAGACAGCAACACACCCCCTCATTCAGTAATCTCAAATCACTCTGCAGATACACTCCACTAAACATAAAGCGTGAACAACATCCGCATTTTCAACACTAATCTCACTCAAGTCAGTGCTCATGGTTCACTCACTTTGCAGCGCAATACCAAAACCATTTCCAACAAACAACTGCACACACACTTCATCAACACCTGCCGTCTACGCTCACTCCATACACACACTAAACATCAGATAGATGGCCAGAATAATTACAATAAGCAATGAGGAACTCACTCTGGACAGCCAGCCAACAAACCAACCAATCAACCAACCAACCAACCAATAAACGAACCAACCAACAACCTATCACCTAACAAAATACAGAAGAAACTGGAGATGGATTCAACTGCACTGGACTGGACATACACTGAGAGGACCACTTGGGAACATCACACACCATGTCCTCGAGTGGAACCCAAATGGGAAACGACGAGTTCGGTGTCCGAGGCGAGGGTGATATGGAGGAGATCGTGTAAGGAAGAAATCAAAGCTTATAGGCAGTTGTCGGGCCATGTTGAAAATACTGCAGAGAGGAGAGTGGAGTGATGACGTGCTATCGAAGCCCTGTGTTCTACTAGGAACCCAAGGAACAAATTATAAATAATATATATTTATAATAATAGTATAATATAGTCGTATAATAATAATAATATAAAAACAATAATATGTATTTTTATGTTGAGCTACCTAAAGTTGCGTGCATTTTACGTATGGTTAAGATCATTGTGATAACAGGATACATAGCAACTTTAAGTAGTACACTATCAAAGCAAGTTATTAGTTTTTGATAACAAACTATTTTGCTCAGCTTTTTCGGCAGTCAAAGTCGTCAAGCATATTCAGCTTTCGAAACGTATTCCAAAAAGTAGAGAGAGGTAGAAAAGTGAACTTTTCAACATCAAAACGTGTTTGTATGTGTGTCTTTGCAATAAGAGAAGTAGGCAAAACTTTAAACTATATAAAATACCTTATTCAAAGAGGCTAAACAATCATGAAGATTTCCAAAAGTGAATGGAGCTTCTGGCTGAGGTAATACCTTCTTTGCGTTGCGTTTCGAAAATGGATTTGAATTAGCCATTTGAATTATATCCCAAGCTTCATCATATGTTAGCCGACAACGAGATCTGATTATGCTTCGACCAAACCATTCATTAACAATCTGGAAAAAGATTTTTCCAAAATCGTACAATAATAACATAATATAATGGTGTCAACAGATGTTTTTAAATAAAACTGGGGAAAAAAGTACACAATTATATTCTAATCTAATGGTGCGTACTCATTACAGTTAGTATAATAAAGATAAACACAACCACAGATAACTCCTAAAACATAATTTTCTGTGTATTAAAGACAATGATACAATAATTAATACCGTCACGATTATTCTTTTACAATTGAATGATGACGAAATCAAACACCCTCAGTGTGTACCGTGTCAAGGAATAAAAACTGCAGTTTAAATGCCTTAATCAGTGATTATTGGAAAAAGTATCAATTAATGGTGAATACTACAGACAACCATTGATAAAAATGTTGCTGCATTAACAATGTGACAAAAAAACCAAAGGAATGTGAAAAAATATTCTTCAAACAGTATTTGAAGATGAGCCAAACATGGACTTAGATCAGTTTTAGCCACTGACAATATCATTAGTACACTACAAGGGACGAATAAACACACAGGCTAGATGATACCTTCACATTTGTAAGCACTTGGTTCATAAGATTTTACAACGTATACTGGAAAATATAATTCAGGTTAAAATGATTCTTTAAACTTCAATTTGGTATTCATCATAGACTGACGTCAGTTAGAGAAACAGTGGACAGCTGTTTTGTTCTAGTATGAGACCCTCCAGCAATGCGCACCTACAATCCTGCCAGAAAATCAAACCCGCAATTTTCAGCTTCCATGGCAAAAACGTTACCATTGAGCCAATGGTCCATATTTCCAACTTCTGTCAGTTTACGATATAGCGCAGCCATAGGTACGCACTGCTGAAGAGTCCCACACTAGGACGAAACGGCTCTGTCTAGTGCTGCAAAGTTTCCAGTGTTCCTCCAACTGATATCAGTCCATGATGAATACCAAATTGAAGGGAAAACCTTCAAATCCCCACAAACCCACGAGTTTTTTTAATTGACAAGAACATCAGGATTATATAGAGAAACTAACTGAAACATTATTATTATTTAGTATTTATTAGTCCCTTGGGTTCCTAATGGAACATAGGGATTCAGTAGCACGTCTCCAGTGACCTCTGTTCTCTGAAATCTTTTGAACCTGGTTCCACGACAGCCCACAAGCACTCATTTCCTCCTCACACGATCTCCTCCATGTCACCCTCTAATCGGACGCCCAACTCGTCGCTTCCCATGGGGATTCCACTCGACGGCCTGGCCTGGCCTGGCCTGGCACGTGATGTCCCCAATCGGCCTTCTCAGTGTATGCCCAACCCATCTCCACTTCCTTCCACTGCATATTTGTTCAGCGATAGCTTCTTGATTGGTTCGTTGGCAGACCACAGTTCCTTGTTGCTTATTCTGATTATTCTGGCCATCTATCTGATCTTCAGTAACGAGCTAGCGTAAGCGGCAGTTGTTGATGAATGTCTGTAGTTTGTTGGAAATCCCTTTCGTAACGCGCAAAGTCTCTCAACCATCACACAGAAGCACTGACTTGGCGTTGGTGTTGAAAATCCGGATGTTGTTCACACTTTATGCTGAGTGCAAAAGATATCCACACTGGTTTCAGGCTAATGAACGCCTGTCTTGCTTTTCCGATTCTGACTTTGACGTCTTCATCTGTCCCGCCTGTAGTTGATACAGTGCTTCCTAGATAGGTGAAGGAGGTTACTTCCTTTAAGTTTCTCCTGTTGATGGTGATTAGAGTTTGTTGTTGGTGATGGTGCGGTGTCTTCATCACCTCTGTCTTCTCTATATTCACTTGAAGTCCCGTCTTCGCTGCCTCTTCTATCAACTTGTTAGCTTTCACCTGTAGATCTTCAAGTTTACGTGACACCAGGCACAAGTCATTGGCGAAATCCAAGTCTTCTAGGTTCTTTTCCGCAGTCTAGCCAGCGTATCCCTCTCTTCTCACAACTCCCCACTGTTTGCTGCATGATCCAGTCCACCACAATCAAGAATATCATGGGGGATAGTAGGCAACCTTGTTTCACTCCTGTCTTCACTTCAAAAGCATCACTGAGCTTCCCATTGTGAATTACTTGGCTGGCATGTGGCATCTTCATATAGTTGTTGAATGAGGCGGATAAAGGTTTGCGGTACTCCGTAGTGGTGAAGCAGTTTCCAAATTACTTTTCGGTCGACGCTGTCAAAGGCCTTCTCAAAGTCGATGAAGTTGAAGTAGAGAGCCGATTGCCATTCTATGCTCTGTTCTATGATGATGCGAAGCGTTGCAATTTGATCCGCACATGAATTGTACTTCCTGAAACCAGTCAGCAAGCCTGTTCCGGTCGTAGTTTTGAATCCAGTGCATCCTTAAGCCTCTTCAGGATGATGCGCCTTAATATTTTGCTTGGGGTGGACAGGAAAGTGATTCCTCGCCAGTTCTTGCAATGACTTAGGTCTCCTTTCTTCGGCAGTTTGACAAGGTAAACTGAAACATTAACATAAGCATAATTGTTAGTTTACAATCAAAATGATTCCACCTGTTGAAATATCATGCACGAGTGTATACCATCATATATCCAACCAGTTTCACTCATCATTCGCCACAAATTATGAAACACGAAAACTGAGTAGGTTTACAATTTGAATGGCATATTGCATTTTTAAACTGTTTATTTTAGGAAATGACTCCTTGAACAATCCTGATGTGAAATTCGTGTTATTGGCGGATATTATTACTACTACACAGAAAACCACAAAAATGCTAGGAAAAAAAGAATGAGATAATTCCCAGAATGGGTGAATTCATCCAGGTAAGAGGTTCTTCTAATATACTGAAAGGCTGCAGAGTAACGGTGATTAGAAGGCCTAAACTGAATCTTTGAAATATTCAGTCTATATCGGTCACCAAAAAAAAGAAAGTGAAATCCAAATGAAATGATGAGATAAAGTTCGATACACCAGAAAATTAGTCTCACAAAGTAGCTGCATTCGTGTTGATACATGAGTAATCAACGTTTTCTCATTGTTTACAAAAATAAATAATTGATATTTACAGAGATACACCGTTTATGTTGATATCAAAACGTCTGTCTGTAAATTAATTATAAGTAACGACGTGCAATACGATCTAGTTTATTGGTTATAAGAAATGAGAACTGTAGGAATACTGTTGTCTATTCTAGAATACTAGATAAGGCAAAAATAAAGACTACTAGGTAAAGTAGTACATTTCTTACAATCTACAAACATGTATATCATACGTTTCCGTATCTGTTTTCTTATCTGATAGGTAGAGAAATTTTATTGACTCAAATTCTAAATGGACAAAATGAAGAAAAGATTAAAGGACTTTCACATGAAACATTGAAAATGAAGGTTATCGAACAAAGCCAATTAATTAAATTACCAAAACAAAAAGATTACACAACACAAACAGCTGACAAAGTGAAGAATCCGTTTGTTCTTCCTTTATGGTTGACTGAACAGTGGAATGAGGTGCTTGTTGACTGGCAAGTGGAATAGGATTATACAACAAAACCTTAGTCATTATGATTAGTTTTGAAGTGAAGATTGAATTTATTGGTAAATATATTCTCAAAGAATATTTACACACAATGATATTGTCTAATTTTGGTATTATTGTAGTAGGCGTTGCTGATAAGAATGGATATAAGTAGTATATATTGAGAGGGTAGCAGAAATCATAGGTAGTTACCAGCAATAGGTAACGATTCTGCCAAGAGAAATGTAAGAGGCAACACAGGCGTATGAAGAGCAAATCAAGAGGGAAGCAGAAGAGGAAATGAAGCATATTTTGCAAATGACTGTCTTAGTGCATAGTGTACCATATTTAACGACTATAGTACTACCACTTGTAAATAATAAACATTCCTTATATCGTCTCCATCTTGTTGTTTCCTACAATGGCTTTTTTTTGGAGGGAAGGAATGTTTCTTATTGACATCTTGTACAGTAATCATCAAATAGCTTACACTTGCCATTAAAACAGCCATTTTATTGGTTTCATCTGTGTTGGTCTCTTCCCTGATAGCAACCTGGTTACTTGATACAATGTCGTCAGGTCTCTTTTACCTGCAGCCTGTTCTGCTTCACTTGCCAGTGTGTCGTAGAAGTGTCTTTTGTCTTTGCGTGCACTCTTCTTCACTTCTTTGTCCAGTGTTTTATACATTGTGCTCAGTTCCTCTTGTCGTTGAGCATCCTTGCACTGGTTTATCTTCTGCTTCACCATCCTCCTCTCCCTCCTCTATCAGCTTCCAGGTATCCGTCGAGATCCATTCCTTGTCCTGTCTTCTTTCTTCTTCCTTCCTAATACTGTTGTGCAGGTTTCTTTCCACATAGCTTTCAAAGACTTCCAGTGCTCTTCCACACAGGTTTCTTCAGGGATGTTGCTCGATGTCTCCCATTTTGTCTTGATGGCTGCCTTGAAGATCTCCTTTGTAGTTTCGTCCTTCAGTTTCCGAGTGTTGTACTTGAACTGGGGTCTATCACCAGCTTCCTTGAAGGCTCTCAACTTGATTTGGAAGGTTCCTTGCACTAGATAGTGGTCTGAACCTACATCTGCTCCTCTTCTTGACCTTGTGTTAAGTAGACTGCGTCTCCATTTTCTTGAGATTGAGATAAAGTCGATTTGATTTTTAGTGTGTCCATCTGGTGAAATCCATGTCGCTGACTTGTGGATATCTTTGTGCCTGACCACACTGCCTCCAATTACCAAATCGTTGAATGCACAGAATTCTGCAAACAATTCTCCATTCTCATTCATTTCACCTAGCGCCTCTCGACCCACGGTTAGTTCTTTTCCCGTGTTGTCCCCTCCCAGTTTCGCATTCATGTCGCCCATCAGAATTTTGATATCGCCAACTGACGTCTTGTCCAGTGTTGATTGAAGTTGTCTGTAGGATTCCTCCTTTTTCTCTTGCTCTGCATTATTTGTTGGTGCATAGTGTAGCATTGTATGATTGTGACCTTTCTTCCTTTTGAGTTGAATCCATCTTGCTGTCATGATCCTGGAGGAGATTGGTTCCCACTGCATGAGAGCCTTTGATGCTCTTGAGGACATCATGATAGCCACTCCATAACTCAGTGTGCTCGTGGTTGTCGTCTGGGTGACAATATCGGAGTAGATTATTGATTCTCCAGTTGAGTTTGGAGACTCCACTCCCATTCCATCTGCTTTCGCAAATTCCAAGCACTTCGATGTTATACCTTCTAATCTCGTTTGCAATCTGGGCTGCCTTACTGGGTTCAAACATCGTACGGACATTCCATGTCCCCACGTTTACTTTCGCTTTCATCGAGGGAGAGAAGACACATCGGCCAATTGGCTTCGGGAAGGCTTTCACCAACTGGCATCATTTCGCCTCTCCGATTCCAGCGGGGAATAACTTTGTTTTCATTTTTTATATTTTGTTTGTGCTTTGAAGTTTCTTTAGCGGTTAGATTTGTTTTACGGGGTAGGGTTGCTAGCCCTATGCCCAACCTTCCCTCTTTACCCGGGCTTAGGACCGGCTAGTAACTAGTAAACTAGTTAACCAGGCGAGGTAGAAGACCAATAACTCGATTTGAATCAATTTCGCAGTCACCTATAACATCAATAACTCATCGAGGAAATAACTTGAACGCTGACCTATATGCCAGTGTCGACGATCAAACGGGGGTTATGGATTTGGTCACTTGAAACTCTGAGGAGATGGACCATGTAGATGTAAACGAAGAGGAGGATTACATCTACAAGGGAGTTTGTCAGGCATGCTTCCAAACTGATGGACTCTCTCCATTTCACATGAGGGTATATGGATAGCATACCGTTGTCATGATACATTTCATATATTCTCCTCATGGAATCCACACCCAAGAAGCTTTTGTCTTGAGTATCCTGTGTGTAGGCATAACGTTCGGTAGGAAGGTAATGTAACTGAAAATTAGAGGGACTTTCGCTGAAACAGGTAATTTGCATGTTTATCCCCAACAGGTGTGCTCATTTCACTTTCACATTTCAGATGAAGACAAACTGTACCAGAAGTGAATTTCTACTTCATGAGTGGAAGTGAACGAACAAAGACACTTCTTAAGACTAACGCAAATGTGATCTGAATGACTTCTTTCGTTCTTTAAAATAAATCAGAAATAATGATCCATGTTTTACTACTTCACTTTAGAATCGAATGAATATAGTAAAGAAGAGTATATCTTTAAAAAGTGTAGAAGAGAATGACAACTACCAAACTTTCTAAGATGAGTCATTGACGCGATCTGTTTAGAGAAAGCCTACCTGGATAGGGTGATATTAAAACTATTACAGTTTCTGTCCGTCACAATACAAACAAGGTTTAGTTAGGTGCTTATATAGTCGAATTACAACAAATTTGTACACTCAATAACGTCTAGGGAAGAGAAAAGATTATTGATGGAGACATTAGTTGAGAACAACTACCTAATGAAGTTTATAAGTCGACCTAAAGCAACCTGAACATTGAGAAGTACGGTTAACTTTGTCCTTAAGAAGGATGTTTTCATCAAACTAACATATATTAGTGATGCTTGATAGCTTGATAGTCAAACAGAGACTTAACCCTACAGTAGATAAAACCTATTATACAGTTAAGGTTCAGATAATTGAAAATTCAAAGCATAAATACCTATAAAAGTTATTGGAACAGCTGAAAGATGAAATCACATTTCATTGTATTTATCAACTTAAATGTACATGTAGTGTGTAAAGATAATCATTACAAATATATATTCACAGTATACATGATTCTCTAAACATATTTTTCCTGTATATAATGAAAATTAAATGCTGTTCTTAGACAATTTCATATTCTCGTTTACCTTCCAAAAAGGTTTGCTTCTCTACAGCTAACTTACACAAAAGAATAGCATTGATGTAAGGTAAATCACCTTGTGATAAAATGAAAAAAAAAACTCACTACCTAAATTCAACTAATAAAGTATGATGGTAAAGTTGATGAAACGAACCCAGCTTATGCTCTTTTTTTTTTCAACCATATAACTATAGACACCAATCTGTAAGAAGAATAAGGGGAACTGAAAACTAAATGATTTCAATTTGAACAATCGAGAGGAAAAAAATAATTCTACATTAGTTATTTTAAGCTTTTTTTCTAGAGAAAAGATATGTTCAAAATAATAAACTTACTTAAATTCTTATCATAATTCAATGAATAGTTTACAAAATGAAAATCATCATAGACATTATACACATATGAATTAGAAATAATATCGGTTATTTTTGTGTAAAATATAACTAACCTCACCATTCTCCTTCACTGTCAATACCATTGAAAAAGCCAAACGATCTTCATTGGGAACAAGACTACACAAATGTTGTGAAAGAATTGGCGGTAACATTGGAATAACCTTTATATTGATAAGAAATAATGAAATAGTGAAATTTTGCGTCAAGTTAATCTAATCACAATTAAGTATTTCACAAATATTTTCAAACAGTAGAAAATCATGAATAAAATGGTAGTTGTCAGTAAAATAAATCTACAACCTACATTCAGTTCAGTAGTAAGCAAGTAAATGATTCCTAGCAGGGTCATGAATGCTCTCTGCTGAGGAGTCTCATACTAGGATGAAACAGCTATCCAGTGCTCTCAGTGTTCCCCCCAACTGATATCAGTCTGTGATGAATTCCCAGCTAAAATCAATTAATAAAACTCCAGAAACCGCCAAACAGAATTAATCTACTTCTTGTTGATAACTAGTTTCGAGAAGTGATTCCCGAGATTCCAATGAAAAGTTATGACCAGTACAGTCAACGAGGTCCAACATAAAGACAGTTACTCAACAACATTGGATATAGGTTGTGCTATATCGTGAACTGACAAAAGTTGGAAATGTGAACCATTGGATTCCGAACCAGTGGCTCAATGGTAACGTGCTGGTCATGGAACCTGAAGGAAGCGGGTTCAAGCCCTGGTGGGCGGTCATGGATGTGCACTGCTGAGGAGTCCCATACTAGGACGATACAACTATTCAATGCTCCCAGATTTCCAATGTTCCTCTAACTGATGTCAGTTCATGATGAATTCAATTCTTAAATAAATGAAGAGTTGAGTGCATAAACTGGAATTCAAATGCTATTATTGATGCTTAAAATAAATCTAAACGTGTTCTAACACACCACATTGAACATGACGACAAAGGAAATATACTCTGTACGCTTGAGTTTGTCAGTGAAAGTTAAAAAAATGAATATCACCCGCGAATACTATTTAACTGAATAAATAGTAACTGGGAGCAATTGATCAAGACGTAAATTCTTTTTGTCCTCTTTTTTATAAAGTTATTTTCTTTCGAGTTCGTCATCCAAATATATGTATTTAAAAATAGCACACTTATTCGATTGCCACGAATACAAAGCTATGGAACCACACCTATTGCATGCTGTTCTTTGACTGACCAAACATTGGTTTTGCACAGCAGTATTTGAATCAGTAATCCATTAGTTGAAAATCAAATGTATGAAGCAGTGAATATAAGTAAGGACGCATCACCCTGATGAGACGCAAGAATGCGATGGATTCAAAATTATGACCGGAACATGTTGGCTGGCTGGTTTCAGGAAAAACAAATCATGTGCGGATCATCATAGAACAGAGAATAGAATGGCAGTCAACTCTCTACCTCAACTTCATCGATTTTGAAGTGGCCTTCGAGAGTGTCCACTGAGAAGTAAATTGGAAACTGCTTCAACACTACGATCTTAGTGCCACAAACCTCTATCAACAACCTCATTCAACACCAGTATGCTGCTATATGATGATGCTACATGCCAAGTGACTCCGAATGGAAACCTCGGTCAAGCATTTAAAGTGAAGACAGAAGTAAGACAAGGTTGCCGCTTAATATCACCGGTAATCTTCCTGATTGTGGTCGACTGGACCATACAACAAACTGTGAGAAGTGAGAGGAAGGGCATTCACTGGCCAGACCGATGAAAAGACTCTAGACGATTTGGATTTCGCCTGCACACAGACTTCATCAACACCTACCGTCTACGCTCACTCCATACTCACACTGAACATCAGATAGATGGCCAGAATAATTACAATAAGCAATGAGGAACTCACTCTGGACAGCCAGCCAACAAACCAACCAACCAACAACCTATCACCTAACAAAATACAGAAGAAACTGGAGATGGATTCAACTGCACTGGACTGGACATACACTGAGAGGACCATTTGGGAACATCACACACCATGTCCTCGAGTGGAACCTAAATGGGAAACGACGAGTTCGGTGTCCGAGGCGAGGGTGATATGGAGGAGATCGTGTGAGGAAGAAATCAAAGCTTATAGGCAGTTGTCGAGCCATGTTGAAAAGACTGTCGAGAACAGAGTGAAATGGATACGTGCTACTGAAGCCCTATGTTTTTCTAGGAACCCAAGGGATAAATAATAGTAATAACCAATAAAAGCGACACTGAAATATTGATATCCTTCAGATCACTCCAACGACGTAGCAGCATGAATTAAAATAAAGAAGCGATGTATACGAGTAAAAGGTAGTAGTGTAATCAAAAGTCTACTTAAAGATATCATCAATTAGTACTCCTAATATATTTCACAATAAACGTCTGTTACTAGGATAACTATTTATAACAGTTAAAATCGATCCCAGTGTTTATATATATATATATATATATATATATATAAGGCTTACTCGTTGAACAAGATAAACAGATGTAGCTCTAAATGCAGCTTTTTTATCCAATGGACTATTCGGGTAGACAAAGTAGGACACATCTGCAATATGAATACCAACTTCATACAAATCTAGAATGAAGTAAAATAAATCGAAAGATACTATGAATATAACCCAATAGATAGAATAAAATAATTTTGTAAACTTATGAGTTGAGAATAGAATTAAGAGAGAAGAATTATCCAAGGTGTTGATTACATAGTAATCCGGTGTATGTGTGTGTGTGTACGTTTTACCCTTTCAAATAAAAAAAAAACTAATCGAATATACATTTCAAGATATGTACGAAGTGTTACTTAAGTTTTCTAGCATTTTCCACCGATATATGGATGTATATTGCTATAATAGCTGTTTACACAGAACAATTAAGTTCAACGTATATGTCTGCCATAGACAAATACTCATTGTAAAAGCGCAGAAGTCGATGAACATTTCTTTCTTTTTTTTTGGTGTACGATACTAATAAAGTTGAGCTAGATACAAAGGAGAAAGCTATTCATCATGATTTCAGTTATTAAATTGTAGCCATGAACTATATGATCTTAGAAGAAATCTAAAACACTATCACTTTGAAATGAAAATGACTTTACGATACTTTCCCAGAAATCAAAAAAAGAAGAGGAAATGAGTAGGGTAGAGTAGAGTGCTAAAAGTGGCAACTAGTGAGAAAATAAAAATAAAAAGTGACTCAGTGATAAAGTTGAAACAACTGTAATTTAATGGGAGACATAATCCATCTATGTACTCACAAAAAAATCCACTCAATTATCTTAACGGTGCATTCATATAGTAAGTAGTGTGTAACACCAAGTATTTAACAGGTAATATGATACGACTTAGATTCTCAAACCTCGGCGGGTGGAGTGGGGCCTTAAATCTGTAAACTATTGGTTGAAAATTAAGTCCCTAGATCAGTAAGACTCACCTCCACTGTATAATTACAATTATAAAAGAGTGAAAGTAAATTGCTAGTCTAAGAGATCTAACAACCCTGGGAAAAATGTAAGACTAATGTGGTGTTTACGATAAGAAACAAAACTTCAGAGTATCAAAACGAAACCATCGCCTCTACTATACCCTATATAGTGATATTTCGTTTTAGTATGGATAAGCAGAAAGTATCTAATAATTACAAAACAACACGGATCGAAACCGATTGGTTATAAATTTTATAAAAACACTCTAGTAGAATCAATCAACTATAAATGTTCTTAAACCTAAAAGGCGTAATAGTCAACTGAAAAAAAGAATAGAAAAGATTTTTACTTAGTCAGAATGAATTGTTGATTAAATCTTCGATATTTTACAAACTTTCTCATGGATCAACGGCGAATAAGTGAAGGCGAAGCATCACCTCAGATTATTCTGAGGCCAGCAATGTACATGATACACATTGCAATATATTCAAAGAAAAGGGTTTCTTTACAAAAGGCGATTGCAGTGAAGAAGTATTATGGAAATAAAATGTATAATCACACTGTATAGGATAAATTTATAATAGTCAACGGTAAACACAAAAGTTGGATGAACCTTATTTTAGATACAACGCTGGTTTGAACTTCTGAATGACTAATGCTTCGGTTGTACCGTAGTACTTTGATCTTACTCCTTTCAAGTGGTTTGATTTAACTTTGTAGAGGATTTTGAATGACTTAAAAGGAGGTGAGTGATTTGAATTCATAAGGTGATGTTATTGAGTTGAAGTTACATTTTCATCCTCCCTTTGCCAGTCCGGTTGGAAAGTGTTTACGAGCACGTTTTACAAGCCGATGCATGGTACGATTGATGTACACAGCTCCACAGGAGCAAGTAAACTGGTATATACACACTTTGATGTGGCCCACTGCATCAGTTTATCTTCGAAACACTGACCGAAAATTTTCTTGTAAGGGAAAATGATTCGAAGGTTGGCAAGAAAGTAATACACTTATTATTAATTATTGACAGTAGGTGCTGTTTGAAGGTGAAATGAAAATTTGGACCGCGAGCAGATTTCAACCACTGATCACCAGGTTCCTATCACGATCCTCTACCAACTGAGCTACGAGGTCCGACTGCTCACCAGATTTTTCTTTCACTTCAATCACCAAGAGTTTTGCTCGACGACTGCCATATGAATTCATGACGCGTTACTACAGCTTGATCGTATTCACACTCACTGCGTAGTCAAGACTTCTCATGCCAATCCGAATCTAACTGAATTAGAGAGGGATGCGAAGTCCTGACTGACTAGGTAGCCAGTGTGAATAGGATCAAGTCATAGTAACACATCACGAATTCACATAGTAGTCGGCTGAAACCCACTGGTGACCGAAGTGAAACAAAAATCTGGTCAGTAGTAGGATCTCAAAACTCAGTCAGTAGAGTATCGGGTCGAAAATTCCATAGTCGCTAGTTCGAATCCCGGCGCCGTCATCATCCAGTGTCAATACCAGTTTGCCAAACTATGGCTATCTCAGATAGTCAAAATGATAATTATTTATCGTTTTTATTCCCATAATCCCTTGTTTATTTTTCCATCTTAAGCAGTGATTTTTATTTTTTACCTTTGGTTATTCAATATATTTTGCCCCCCGCCTGACCGGAAATAATTCTGAAATGCTTCGCCCACCAGTGAACAGCTTAGTAAACGACTTCGCCGTAAAGAAAAAAGTTTTTCTTCGCTACAACTGCCTTTTGTCTATATTCCTATTATCGAATGGATTTCTGCACAAATTAAAAGTTTAACAATATTAACTAAAAAAACCACCCAAAATAAGATACATATTCCCCTTCCTACCATTATTCAATTTTCTGATATGTAAAGCATCATCGAAATCTTTTGCATTTTCTGGATCTATTGTCACCACACAATGAGAACGAAAGTCTTTTCGTTTTTCATATTCAATTTCTGGTATTTTGAAATCATCTGCACTGGCTGGTAAACCTTTTACATGCTAAATTCATGAAACAAGAAGTTAGACATTCACATATTCTTGGATAGTAAATATAATAATTTGTTTCAATAAAAGATATGGTATAACAAACAATTAACTATAATCAAATTATATTCGAACCGACAGATGATGTCTGCATAAAAATATTTCATATTAGCTTAAATAAAATAAATACTCGGTTTTAATAAAAAGATGTTTTGACTTGTTTCTGTTGAAATGTTAGAAATGACTTCAATATTCATAATATGTTGAGGTTTATTTTGAAGATTCAACCATACATTGTTTGGTCACTAGAGGATAACCAACTTCATGTTGTCTAGCCTGAAGTGTTGATCGAATTCTATCAGTCATTTTGCAATGTGGCCATCATCAGACTAGGCAGCTCAGCATCACGATGCAGTTTTATAGATGTTAGTTGGATGTAGGCGATCGGTAAAAAGCCCTGCACCTAGATTTTGGGCTTGTTAGCACTCGCCACCAAGGCGTATCTCTACAACCCTGATAGAACATGAAGTTGGTTACCTTTCAGTGACCAACCTATGTATCTAATTCAATCCTACAAGAGGTCAGTCACGGCCAGAATACCTCAGTGGTAACGTCCTTGATTATAACACAAGGTGATGTGGATTTGAATCTTAGGTGGGATATTAGTTCCGTCGGGGTCGCAGATACGCCTTGTTGACGACAACCAACAACCAGGAAACCAAGGTCCAGGGGTCCCCCCCCGATTTCCTCCATCCTTACTGCTCAATGTCCGTACAACTCTTCCAATCTATCACAATTTGAAATGAATCAACAATACAACAGCCAAAGTCCCCCCCCCCTACGCCGTTTGCTCAGTGAAGATCTGTGAGAATAATTATGGTATATTCAATATCGATAAAAAGCAATCAAAAGGGAAATCGGGCTTTGAGAGAATGATATAACACTTAAGTAGACTGATTTACGCATATTGCTAACATAACAAAAGAGCAACAAGAAATCTGTAAAGATCACTACTTTTTCGAGTGACTTTAAAGGTCACCCTAACAACTTCTGAAGTGACCAATGAAGCTTCAATATTTCATCTGAGAAAGCTCTTTTTCGATAAAATAAAGAAATGTAATTGACTATCTCATCAACTGCTAGGGTAGCCTTTAAAGTCGCCCACTTTTTCTGCAGTCAGAAGATATGAAGAAATGAGCTTCACTTTTTTTTAAAACATCGATAACAGACACGTCTGCAAACTAGAATGCAACGCGAATATCTAGAGTAGTTGTTGAAAAAATTGGTGTCTCCTTTTACAACTGCAAATATGCTTAGCACATCATACAAAATTTTTTTATCTTCCAATCTATTCAGTTTTGAAATATTTAAATAAATGATAACCTTAATGAAAATAAGTAAATAAGTGGGTCAATATTCAAACTAGTCGACCTTCCAACATTTCAATGAAAGAATAATAAATGCTTTTTATAAAAATGAACTAATTCCTAATAAACTTGCCTCAGATGTGAATTCATCTTCTTTTATACCATATTCCACGAGAATACCTCTTGTTTCTCTTTCTAGTTCATCCAAATTTCCCAAGTTCTCTTCAATCACTCTATATAAGTGAACCCAATGTTAAAACAAACTAGTAACTGGCATATACATAAACAAAAAATGATTGAGTTGTGAACTGAATAAAATAACGCAAAGAAAAAGTTTAAAATTCATATTTCAGTGGATAATCCATTAGAGACTTCATGAAGTAATCACTAAATACTAGAAGCACTTTTCCTACAATCCATGAGAGTTAATACAGCACTCATATCTCAAAAATACAACGTAACATCACTTTACACCTACAAGAGATTGTTACTCCTCAAAACTTTATCTGCTTGCTATGAATTCAAGCTTATACAATAAGTAAGTAGCAAACAGTAAGTAATATTGAATTAAGGCTGTCATGTTGATTTTACGAATGTTTAGACATATAAATAAATACATTTTTGAGATGAATGTGGATTTTCATTTAGAGGCAGTATACATTACGGACAGACATAAGTTGGGGAACCATTGAAAACCTGGAAGCACTGGACAGCTGTTTCGTCCTGGTATGGGACTTCTCAGAAGTGCGCACTCATGACCATAATGAGAAGCCGTGAATTGTGGGGCCAACCAGTTGGAAGGGAATGCGTCAACTGAATACCCTGGGTGGTAGTCGTGCTACATTGTGAATTGACAGAAGTTGGAAACTATGAACCACTGAAAACTGACCCAGTGGTTGAATGATTGACGCGTTCGCCATGAAACCTGAAGGTCTTGAGTTCGACGGCTGGCTGGGTCGTGGATGGGTACTACTGAGGAGTCAGGTTTTCAAAGGTCCCCCAACTGATGCTAGTCTATGATGAGTACTACCTCTAAACATAAATAAATGACTTAAAATATACTTAGTTAGAAGTGGCCGAGTGGATAATAATCAATACGCGAACGATGATAACGCGATGAGACACCTGAACAGGATACGACCAGTGACTGTTCTTCCTCAGATCCACATACTTCACTGAGCCGCAAAAATTAGACGACAAAACCGAACTACAGTCGTACCAACTGATTTGCTTTCCTCATCTATTACTGTGCCTAATCTCAACAACAATCACGCGATGACTCCACCTGACACAGTCAGTGGTACAAAGACATTATTGGTCGATAACCTGTAACATTTTCATACCTTCTAATTGTAGTCGTACAACGAGAAAGAATGAACGGTTAAGCAGTATGCTCGTCCACTGATAGGTGGCAGTAAGGCGTAAGTTGGCAAAAATGTCATAAATTATTGAAAAGTATGACATGAGTTACTTATTAAATACCCTATTCGTGTTATTATTAATGATGAAACTGCAAAACAGAAGTTGTCAACCATGGAAACATCCTACAGATAGGTATTATATGTTTTGATACAAACTAAAACTAGATAATTATTTCATGAGTCTGACTGCATAAGTGTTGCACTGCATGTCTGCAGTAAACAGTCAGTTGAACATAATTATTGCCTGAACTAGCTTCTTTTGTATGGGAAAAAGTAAAGTGAATACAAAAGATAAAGAAAGGAACGTTTATTACTAACAATTGGATAGTACAGTAGTCGTTAAATATGGTACACCTTGCACTAAAACAGTCATTTGCAAAATATGCTTCATTTCATCTTCTGCTTCTCTCTTGATTTGCTCTTCATACGCCTGTGTTGCCTCTTGCATTTCTCTCGGCAGAATCGTTACCTATTGCTGGTAACTACCTATGATTTCTGCTACCCTCTCAACATATACTACTTATATACATTCCTATTAGCAATGCCCATTACACAATCAGTAAAACAACAAAGACCTAAACTATGCGCAGTACATAGAAGACAAAATCACTTATCAATAGCAGCTATTTTTGCAAATAGATGTGATGATAAGATAGTTATGATAATAAATGAAATATAAATATTATCCCATTTTAGTCTGTTTATAAGAAATATCACATAGTGAAACAGTAGCATTTACTGGATAACGTTTAAGATACAATTTATTGTCCATATTCATATCACGCGATGAATTGTGTCCGAAACGTTATCCAGTAAATGCTACTATTTCACTGTGTGATATTTCTAATAAACAGACTAAAATGGAATTACACTCGACCACAGTACCCAAGTTATACACTTATATTAATAAATATTATTACAGCTGATTAACATGTAGACTCAACCTCGCCTCGTTAACTAGTTCACTAGTTACTAGCCGGTCCTAAGCCCCCATAAAGAGGGAAGGTTGGGCATACGGCTAGCAACCCTACCCCGTAAAACAAATCTAACCGCTAAACAAACTTCAAAGCACAAACAAAATATAAAAAATGAAAACAAACTTATTCCCCGCTGGAATCGGAGAGGCGAAATGATGCCAGTTGGTGAAAGCCTTCCCGAAGCCAATTGGCCGATGTGTCTTCTCTCCCTCGATGAAAGCGAAAGTAAACGTGGGGACATGGAATGTCCGTACGATGTCTGAACCCAGTAAGGCAGCCCAGATTGCAAACGAGATGAGAAGGTATAACATCGAAGTGCTTGGAATTTGCGAAAGCAGATGGAATGGGAGTGGAGTCTCCAAACTGTCAACTGGAGAATCAATAATCTACTCCGATATTGTCACCCAGACGACAACCACGAGCACACTGAGTTATGGAGTGGCTATCATGATGTCCTCAAGAGCATCAAAGGCTCTCATGCAGTGGGAACCAATCTCCTCCAGGATCATGACAGCAAGATTCAACTCAAAAGGAAGAAAGGTCACAATCATACAATGTACTATGCACCAACAAATAATGCAGAGCAAGAGAAAAAGGAGGAATCCTACAGACAACTTCAATCAACACTGGACAAGACGTCAGTTGGCGATATCAAAATTCTGATGGGCGACATGAATGCGAAACTGGGAGGGGACAACACGGGAAAAGAACTAACCGTGGGTCGAGAGGCGCTAGGTGAAATGAATGAGAATGGAGAATTGTTTGCAGAATTCTGTGCATTCAACGATTTGGTAATTGGAGGCAGTGTGGTCAGGCACAAAGATATCCACAAAGCGACATGGATTTCACCAGATGGACACACTAAAAATCAAATCGACTTTATCTCAATCTCAAGAAAATGGAGACGCAGTCTACTTAACACAAGGTCAAGAAGAGGAGCAGATGTAGGTTCAGACCACTATCTAGTGCAAGGAACCTTCCAAATCAAGTTGAGAGCCTTCAAGGAAGCTGGTGATAGACCCCAGTTCAAGTACAACACTCGGAAACTGAAGGACGAAACTACAAAGGAGATCTTCAAGGCAGCCATCAAGACAAAATGGGAGACATCGAGCAACATCCCTGAAGAAACCTGTGTGGAAGAGCACTGGAAGTCTTTGAAAGCTATGTGGAAAGAAACCTGCACAACAGTATTAGGAAGGAAGAAGAAAGAAGACAAGGAATGGATCTCGACGGATACCTGGAAGCTGATAGAGGAGGGAGAGGAGGATGGTGAAGCAGAAGATAAACCAGTGCAAGGATGCTCAACGACAAGAGGAACTGAGCACAATGTATAAAACACTGGACAAAGAAGTGAAGAAGAGTGCACGCAAAGACAAAAGACACTTCTACGACACACTGGCAAGTGAAGCAGAACAGGCTGCAGGTAAAAGAGACCTGACGACATTGTATCAAGTAACCAGGTTGCTATCAGGGAAGAGACCAACACAGATGAAACCAATAAAAGATGAAGAAGGAAATTTAATTACAAAAGAAGAGAAACAGAGGAAACGATGGGCCGACCACTTCAAGAAGCTCTTGAATCGACCACCACCATCACCCACACTTCGTCCAGAAATACCACCTACAGCCACAGAACTACAAGTGAACATAAATCCCCCAACGAAAATGGAAGTCCTGAACGCCATAAAGCTACTGAAATGCGGGAAAGCAGCAGGACCAGATGGAATACCGCCAGAAGCACTGAGAACAGATGCAGAGACAACAGCGGACATGCTCACACGACACCACTATTGCAGAAGGTGTGGAAGGAAGAGAAGGTACCTGACGATTGGAAGAAGGGTTACCTTGTCAAACTGCCGAAGAAGGGAGACCTCAGTGTTTGCAAGAACTGGCGCGGAATCACTCTCCTGTCCACCCCAAGTAAAATATTAAGCCGCATCATCCTGGAGAGGCTTAAAGATGCACTGGATTTAAAACTACGACCGGAACAGGCAGGCTTCAGGAAGTACAAATCATGTGCAGACCAAATTGCAACGCTACGCATCATCATAGAACAGAGCATAGAATGGCAATAAGCTCTCTACCTCAACTTCATCGACTTTGAGAATCCCTTTGACAGCGTCGACCGAGAAAAAATTTGGAAACTGCTTCAATACTACGGAGTACCGCAAACCTTTATCCGCCTCGTCCAACAGCTATATGAAGATGCCACATGCCAAGTAATCCACAATGGGAAGCTCAGTGATGCCTTTGAAGTGAAGACAGGAGTGAAACAAGGTTGCCTACTATCTCCCATGATGTTCTTGATTGTGGTGGACTGGATCATGCAGCAAACAGTAGGCAGCGAGAAGAGGGGGATACGCTGGACGACGGAAAAGAACCTAGAAGACTTGGATTTCGCCGATGACCTATGCCTAATGTCACACAAACTTGAAGATCTGCAGGCAAAAACTAACAAGTTGATAGAAGAGGCAGCTAAGACGGGACTTCAGGTGAATATAGAGAAGACAGAAGTGATGAAGATACCGCACCACCAACAACAACAAACTCCAATCACCGTCAACGGGAGAAACTTAAAGGAAGTAACCTCCTTCACTTATCTAGGAAGCACTGTTTCAACTACAGGCGGGACGGACGAGGACGTCAAAGTCAGAATCGGAAAAACAAGACAGGTGTTCATTAGCCTGAAACCAGTGTGGAGATCTTCTGCACTCAGCATGTGGAACAAGATACGGATTTTCAACACCAACAGTCAAGTCAGTGCTCCTGTATGGTTCAGAGACTTGGCGCGTCACGAAAGGCATGTCCAATAAACTATAGACATTCATCAACAACTGCTTACGCTAGCTCGTTACTGAAGATCAGATGGCCAGAAAGAATAAGCAACAAGGAACTCTGGGAACGAAGCAACCAAGAACCTATCACGCAACAAATATGCAGGAAGAAGTGGAGATGGATTGGCCATGCACTGAGAAGGCCGGCTGAAGACATCACGCGTCAGGCTCTCGAGTGGAATCCGCATGGGAAGCGACGAGTTGGACGTCCGAGGGTGACATGGAGAAGGTCGTGCGAGGAGGAAATGAGAGCTTCTGGGCTGTCGTGGAACCAGGTTCAAAAGATCTCAGAGAACAGGATGAAATGGAGACGTGCTACTGAAGCCCTATGTTCCACTAGGAACCCAAGGGACTAATAATAAGAATAATAACATGTAGACTCAAAAGCATTAATTTTAACAGAATCATTACCCAGAAGGATATGATGATTTATCGTTCCGACAATGAATTCGACAAACGAAATTATTTTCTGAACCAAGTTTCATGTCCTTTATAGCATCTGCAAGAATATAAAAGATAAGTTATTTTTCTACTTTTTAATAGAGAAAACCTGAGTGCAATTTGAAGGATCGTTTACCAAAGGATTGAATTCTAACCTTTCAATAAATAGAGATTCCAAGTTGAATTTCATCATGAACTGACATCAGTTGGAGGAACATTAGAAACCTGGAAGCATTGGACAACTGTTTCGTTCTAGTACGGAACTACTCAGTAGTGTGCACAAAACATGAAGGTGGTGGTTTCAATCTCTGCTGAGAAGTCCCATACTAGGACAAAACAGCTGTTCAGTGCTACCAGGTTTCCAATGTTTGTCTGACTGATGCCAAACCATGGTGATTTTCATCCTGAAATCAATTAATACATCTCCACAAAAAGTTGAATTATTCTAGCGCTCATTGGTGACTAACTTCGAGAAGTTATTCCCTACTTTAAAATGAGAAGTCGTGATTGGTGGGGCAAACCATGTCGGACCAGAGGAAGGTTTCTTAACGATGGCAATGGATGGAAGTTATGCTATATCGTGAACTGACAGAAGTAGAAAATATGGACAATTTGATTCTCACCCAATGGTTTAATGATAATGTTTTCAGTCATGGAACCTGAAAAGCATGATTATGATCTCTAGCAGGGTTATGGGTGCGAACTGCTGAAGAGTCTCATACTAGGACGAAAGAGCTGTCCAGTGCTCCCAGGTTTTCATGATGAATCCCAACCTGGAATGAAATAATGATTTCAGTGCTAAATCGGATTGCTGGAACACTTATGATATGAACTGGAGCTCTAACAGATGTTTGTGAAATTTCAATCGTGGTGTACTTTTAGCGCGGCACAGATACTTGCTCGGATATGATATATACGGGCGAATTTCACATGAATGGATTGGTATACTGAAAAGTGTCAGAAGTAACAAGACTACTACTAGTAAGATACTACTATAATAGGCGTAGCTGATAGGAATGGATATAAGTAGTATATGTTGAGAGGGTAGCAGAAATCATAGGTAGTTACCAGCAATAGGTAACGATTCTGCCGAGAGAAATGCAAGAGGCAACACAGGCGTATGAAGAGCAAATCAAGAGAGAAGCAGAAGATGAAATGAAGCATATTTTGCAAATGACTGTTTTAGTGCAAGGTGTACCATATTTAACGACTACTGTACTACCACTTGTTAATAATAAGCATTCCTTCCTTCAACTCTGTTTTCTCGTTTCTTTACAGTACTAAGCACAGTAGAAATGTGAAAATATGAGCAAATATATATTATTGTAATTAAGTATATGAATACAAGTTATTGTGAGAAGCACCGTTGTGAGCAACACCTGGAAAAACTGATACCAGACTGTTTTGTTAATCAAAACCTTATAAGACAACTTGAGCTTGAAAGATATGCGAACATTCTTAGTCAGTTGAAAATCGAAAAATAATCAACTTAAAGTATAAAAGACAGAATCAAGTAGTAATGAACGCAATGCTATATCCTTTATTTTCTTCGGAAATTGTGTGGTGCTAGAAACAGCAATCTTTATTTCATACAAAGTTATTTTCAGTATTGACATAAAACGGAAGATGGTATTCAAACATCCTACTATTTCATGCGATAAAGACACGATTGCTTAGATGAACACAGTCTGAGCTGATAGAATTTACTATTTTCAGTTGTCATTTGACTTCATTCATATGACATCTGGAAAAAAAAAATTCAATTTCAACTGAAATGGTCAAGAACAATATTCGTCACTAAAATGTGTACGTTGTTTATTCATAAAAATCTTTGAGTAAATAATAATAGAACAATCGAACAATTGATCCCGATGCTTAGACACAAAATATTATGAAAACCTTCTTGATAAGAGTTCAATTCAAATTTGATATGGGATGGTTTAATCCTATAGCCTAGACTTACATCCGAACCTCAATGTCTGCAATCGCTGAATAAGCTAGGCTGAGGATACACAACTGAGGATACAAATTAAATGAAAATCACTAGAAAGGTATTGCTTTCTATTTAGAAATAAGTTATGAAGTGTATTAATAAGCATAATAACAACATCTTTAATGTTTCCAATTATGAACAACTTACCATTAAGCATAGTATTTGGCTTCAATTTAACAGGTAGATGACGATTAGAGCGAGGAAGAAGTATACAATGAAACTTATTGTCTATCGATAAGACATTAGGAGGACATTTAGGAGGACTAATGTTTTCAAAACCTTCAGTTATAAACTTTGGATAGAAAGCAAGACGACCCAATATTCTTTCATTGTTTGGATTTGATTTTAAAACTTTTCTTACTACACCCGTACGAATCAAGTTAGGATATGGTAAGGGACATGCAAAACTGGGTATACGGGATAAATCCAAGCTCTTTAAAATGTCTAATATTGAACTGTAGGGTAAACTTTGAAGGATTTCGACTACTTCTTTAACAGTGTGGTACCGATACTTTTTCAATTCCATAAGCATGGTAGGAGTTAGACCAATGAGTGCAGATGATTCACTGGTATCCGTTTCAAGTATAACATCTAGAGGTGGATCAAAAACTGATTCATCAAGTTGACTTATTTCTGAACTAATCACCTCCTTTCCTGAGCTGATTTGATCAAGTACTTCAGAATTCCAAAAATCAGTAATCTATAAAGAAAAAGACGAATACAAAGTGAAATAGAAAGTATATAAATTGGATTCACCTAAATATCAGATGATCAAATTGAAAATATACGATATTCACAGGACATTCCAACGGTTTTCAACTTTATTTCACAGAGATCTATAAGTATCGATATCAAGACCAATCGAAGGATTATAGTCGAATTAGTTAGGAAAGCATATTACTGACTGATATACACAAACGATAATCAGAATTTCTAGACCATTTACAAGAAACATCAGCTGTTATTGATCAAAACCTAATAACCAAACATCAAACAAACGTTTTGTCATCTCAAGTACATATCTTGATAACTGTACCACGATTTATTAGTCAGAAAACTCCACTTGTTCGAAAAACATTATTTGTAATTAATAAATACCAAGAATTACAAACTCATCTGCTGGATGTACCTGACTCCCAGTGAGTGATGTTGTTCCCATCGAGGTTCGAACTCCGGGCTGATCGCTTCAAACGTCAGAGCGTTATCCACTAGACCATCCAGCTGACGAGTCCTAAATAGGACAAAATGCGCATCCTGGATTCCACTGCTAGCAACTACCCATCATTACTGGCTCCTTTTGCCTCGGGGACCCTGACCAGGTAGCAGCTTACATTGCCCCGCACGACTCAGATCAATAGTAAGATACTTTCAAGGACTGGTGACAAATTTTGGTTGGCCACCTTGGCCAGGAGGTCAACCTAATCCAACTTCAGCCAGTATGGTACATCGAGGCAGGCGGCGGAACGAGATGTGCAGTACATGTCAAAGCCATCTCAGTCGACTACAGTTCACAACTCCATCAATCCACTTACCTGACTTAACTAGTATTCTTCGCCTCACCACAATATTACTCATACGGTGATTCCACCAAACGCGAGTTGTGCTACAAATACATCAGTATTCGAAAACCATAATCTCATGCCTTCTATTTTGAACGACTCTATTTCGCAGTCGTTCAAAATCACAAAACGAACTACAGCGCAGTGTACTCGTCCGTTGATAGATAGTCGGATATACCGCCAGTCGGTACCATTAATGAAAGGCTGGCGAATGCCAAACGTGCTTTCTGTATACAAGCCGAGATTTCGTCAGTAACTAGCCTATTCGGGCTGATACAATAGTTAAAGCTCAGAATAAAATAAGTGCATACGTTTACGACTATGTCATAGTGGAATTTTGTACGTTAACCATAACGAACTGAGGATCATGTCAACATTGGCTTAGTTTTCAAAAATTTTGAAATGATCCTCTTCTGAAGAACCACAAAGATTGTGCAACAAACCCATAAAAGTAAAATCATAAATGTTATGTGGTCATCCCAATGGCTTCCATACCATTCATTTTTTGCCAGCCCTAGGACTGGATAGAAGTAGCGGAGAGGTGATTAGTGTATAATGTGGAGCCATAGGATGAAGGATAGTTGTATCCGTTTGGCATCTGTTGAAGTATCATGACTCCTTGGGTGGGGTACGAGAGGTCATACAACTCAGTGGCTTGAGACATTATCAGATTTGGCTTAGAATTGATACCAATAGTGATTATGCTTCAGCTCCCTTCTATCTTCAACTGCTGAAAAGTAATGAATGTTTTGTCGTGAATATATCTTATTGGATACTCTTTCTTATCGCGTTATTATTTTGTTTATTTATCAACTTTCCTTCACCTTATATTTTCAAAATAGTGTTACATTCTTTTGTGTAGCGCATTTCATCGCGTCCTTGCCGAACCATATTTGTGTTTTAACGATAATAATAATAATAATAACAATAATAATAATAATAATAATAATAATAATAATAATAATGATAATAATAATAATAATAATAATATGTGGTCAAGAGAAGTAGTGAAAATGTCGACACAAGATGAAACAATAACTGTAAAAGAAAATTCGAGTATTGGAAAACCTACTCTCCATTCGTTAATAGGCAATAGTTCTACTAGTACAATATCCCCATGGAATCCGTGTTGATCTGCATTATGAATATGAATACGTCGACCATCGTATGGATTGAATACATACGAGTAAGATGTCGTCTCATATAATTTACCCTAACAAAAAAAAAGAAAACAGTATGTACTAATAAATTTATCTTGATAATAGTCATGTAACAGTGTTAAATAAATTAATGCAATATGCAACCGATAAGCTCAGTAGAATGGATTACAGTCTGAATACTATATTCATATGAGAAACTTGATACAAATTATATTCAATCATTCCTATGATAGTGAATCTCAACAAAATTCCACAACTTTATGGTAAAATTCAACGTAAAAAATCATAAACAATATCCACAGTTCATTTAACATGAAGTTGGCAGTGTCCTGTATTTAACATGAATAGAGAAATGCTGAAAGTAGGTCAGCTGAAGTGTATTACACACTAAAACTTCGATAAATGAATATTAAGTTATATTTGGTATTGCAACAGTTGTAGATTAACATTTCTTGCACTCCTTATAGAGTAAGTATAGATAAAAATGACACCATGTGAATGTATTCAAATACTCGACTACTAATGAAGAAACAGAAGACAACTCGATGACAGAACGTTTATTACGAACAATTGCAATGGTAGTGCTTACATATGGTACTCCTTGCACTAACGCAGCCATTTGCAAATGTCTTCGTTTCCTCTCCGTTCCTGTCTTGATTTGCTCTTGACCGGCTCTTCATACACTCTTATCAGCAGCATCCCCTGTAATACGCCTGTGTTGTCCCCTGAGTTGCTCTTGGCAGAAACCTTACCGTTGCCGGTAATTCCCTATGATTCCAGCCACTCTATCGATATATACTACTTATATCCGTAGTTATCAGCAACACCCACTATACTAATAAAGATATCTCCCAAAAATAGTGCATACGAGGACGTGTCCTTTACTAAGCAATGGAAAATCGCTGATTTCATTGCATTAGGAAATAATAATAATGATAATTGCACACTAACCTGAATTAAATTTCCACTCTCCAAAAGTGCATCAATGTGATTAGGATCTCCAAAACCTTCAGTTGGTTTACTACGCATACGCTATATGCATAATAGGAAAGGATAAGTGAAGCTGACTAGTCATAATAAGAAGTGCAAAATAAAATTCCTATGACTCAATTAGGTGACATAGTGACAAAATACTGCCAAAACATGATAAAAGAATTCACAGCTAAAGTCATCATATTATTATTCCAGACATAGAGCCGTTAAGACTACAGGGTTAAACACGTGCGTATTTAAACTGACTGAGAAATCGAAGTAGAATCTCGTATACAGGTGCATCAGTTGAAGTTTCTACACTTCACGGCAGCATGCAGAAAACAGGGTGGCCAGAATAAGAGTAATAACAAAGAAGTAAACGTAAAGATAGAGAATAAACAATCTGTAGAGAAAAAATAGATAATATTCAAAGAGTGAATACGTATGCATCATTGTTACCGATTTCCAGCCATGTCACGAGGTTTCTCAAACTACTAATATCAATGGTTAGAGAATTCAAGGATTGGTGTCAACTCTTAGTTGACCACCATGAATGCACCTGCAAACTAGACCAACTGGAACGCGGTATACGCACCCTTCGGTGGACATTCAGATATCTCGCCAGTCGGTGCCATGGATAATGCAGGTTGGAAAATGCCAAGCGGCCCGACTGTATCCAAGATAACATTGCGTTGGCAACCATCCTGTTCGGGAGGCTAGTGTAACTCCCTAAGTCGGTGAATTGGTCGACACATTCCACCACAATTCACTCACTATCCTTAAAATAGGAATAGTTCCACACCAGTCCTCAAGCATCAGATTACGTTTGACAGGTGACAGTGAAACACATACCAACCAGACATACTCACATTTATGCTCAACACATCCACAAGACTAGGCATTTTGTCAGTGTCTTCACCTACAAGGACAATAACGTCTGCATAATACAAGTCAACCACATTAACCTTCAGGCAGCAGGTCAATCCCTGTGAACTCACACTTAACTAACGTTACGTCCATTATTACGTCTACAGAAAAGTTGAAAAGGAACAGTGACACTCGGAATCTCTAAAGAACACCGAAAGATGTCGTCATTTCACATGACAACTCTCCATACACCTTCACACAGCTTTGTCATCATCATCATCATCATCATAATTATCATTATCAACATAGGACCAGGCACTACTGCTTAACGGTCCGAGTTGCCACACCTCATATCAGCACATCAAGTAAAAAGGTAGTGAGGCGAAGGATGAAGATAAGTGAATGCAGTCAAAAGAAATATAAAGTACGAAAAGAAAGGAAAGAGAAGTAACAAAATGGTGAGATTCGGTATAGCGATGTTAAGATGAGGATAATGTGTGTATACATCTGCCCCACTGACATCGGTTCTCAGCCATATCATCTAGGGTCTCCAACCACTGGTTCCTCCTATCCCGTGGACCCCAACCACCTAGTCTACATCGTCCTACATGGCTTAAACCAACAGTCAGAGACTTCATACATTGGTGCCATGTTTTAGTCTGGCCACCTCGGGCCTTTCTCCAGTCTGGACCCACCTCAGCCAACATTGTGTGACGAGGCAATCGGTGACTAGGCATACGTAGTACGTGTTCCAACCATCTCAGTCGATGAAGGTTCACAACCTCGTCAACTGATTTACCTCTTCTACCCAAAACTCTACACCTTACTTCTGCATTACTCACATGGTGACACCACGGAATACGTCCTATACTACGAAGGCAACGGTGGTCAAACACCTGAAGCCTTTTTATATCTTCCACTTTCAATGGCCATGTTTCACAGCCATACAGTAGAACAGACCGGACTGCTGTGCAGTACACGCGACCCTTAATAGACAAACGAATATCACGGCGGCGCCATAGGTGGCGCAAATTGGCAAAAGCCAATCGAGCCTTTTGTATCCGTGCAGAAATCTCATCGGCAACTAACCCACCAGGGTTGATCCTACTTCCCAGGTAAGTGAAGTGGTCAACACACTCAACCACTTCACTCTCTATTGTTAACCGCGGTACCTCTGAAGACCAGTCCTGGAGCAAAAATTTGCATTTGGGTGGTGAGAATCGCATCCCAAACATTCTCAAATTGCCACTCAAAGTGTTCAGAAGACTCTGCATCTTGTCAGCGTCTTCACCTAACAGGACTATGTCATCTGCATATTCTAGATCTAAAGAAAATTCACCTGTGATTAGGTCAACGTCTGTGTAATTAGGTGACGAGAGGGAAACCTCCATAAGAATATCTATGATAAAATTAAATAAGAATGGGGAGAGTGGATATCCTTGATGGACACCACTTGATGAGTATAGCTCCCTGGACAACTCATCATGGGCTCTAACACACCCACAAGCGTTCGAGTAGAGAGCTTTCAATAAGGTGATGTACTTACTAGGCAAGCCTTTCACTGACAGACATTGCCATAAGACTTCTCGATCAACGGAGTCAAATGCCGCCTTCAGGTCGAGAAATACAGCTATTGTCGGGCGTCTGTAAGCATATCTATGTTCCAGGACCTGACGCAGTGTGAATATTTGGTCGATACATTCACGGCCAGGTCTAAAGCCTGCCTGGTTTTCTCGGGCTTGCTGTTCCCGAGCTCCACTCAGGCGTCGGAGAATTATAGGACTTAGGATCTTAGACACTATGTTTGTCAGGCTGATTCCTCTGTGGTTATCACAAGAGGACTTCTCGCCTTTCTTGAAGACTGGGATGATGAGTGACTCAGACCAGTCAGAAGGGATCGTATTTGATTCCCATATACTGGCCAACACTTCCGTTAACCTGACTAAGAGCACTCTACCACCATTCTTGTATACCTCAGCAGGTAGTCCGTCTGGTCCTGCTGCCCTTCCTCGTTTCAGGTTACCTACCGCTTTCTCAACTTCTTTTAGTGTTGGGGGACTTGTCTCTATGTCCTATTCAGGATCCGACTGGATAGCGGGCAGCGCAATGGTGGCTGGAGGCCAGTTAAACTGTTCCTCGAAGTGTTCTGCCCATCATTCCAGTTGTCTCCCCTGCGAGTGAATCTCAGATCCGTCCTTCTCCGCTATAGCCTCACTAACTGTTGTTGACCGTTTCCCCCAGGCTCCTTAATAAGTCTAAATAACTGCCTACTGTTACCGATCGCCGCTGCCTTTTCCATCTCTTTAGCCTGCGCTGCTCACCACTGTTCACGATCGTTGCGCAGACTTTTCGTCAGTCTATTTTTAAGTTGCGCTCGCTCTTCATTGTACTCAGAGCCTGCAGCCAGGGATATGTTCACATGCATCCATTAGTTTGGAAGAAGCTGCTGACATCCACTAGCTCTTTTTAGCCATTATTTGTGAGTTCGACTAGACAGTTTTGATTAGCGACATATACTTTCTTGGTACTTCGTTTACACTCGGACACTACCACAACACCTCACGGATGACTGAGTCGAATGCCATCTTCAGATCATGATATGTGGCAAATGTCAGCCACAGGCCGGTAGGTATGTCCATGTTCCAAAACCTATCGGAGAGTGGAAATGTGATCGATGCATTCCGCATCTAGATCTGAAACATATCTCGATTTCTCGAGTTTCCTATCCTATAGATACAGATAGGCGTCGAATAACTGTGGACCTTAAAATCTTGGACACAATATTAATCAAAGTAATTGCCGTGTGGCTGTCACAACAAGTCTTCTCTCTCTTCTCATAGACTGAGATGATCAGTGAACTACACCAGTCTGACGACACAACCTTTAATTCTCATACACTTCCTATTACCTCCGTCACTGTAATTAGCAATTTCATACCTCCATCTGTCAAAACTTCACATGGAAAACTGTCAGTTTCCGCTGCTTCCCATCGTTTCAGGTTCAATATAGGATCGACATCAACGTGCCATTCAGGTTCAGATTGGATGTAAGGTAACTGCAGTGTTGCTGTTGGCCAGTTAAACTGTGCTTCAAAGTGTTTTGCTCACCGTACAGCCGCATGTCCTTGGAGGTTATCAGGATCCCATAGTTTTCGGCGGTGCATTAACTCACCTTCGTCTTTTCCCTGTCACTATCCCTTCCCCCCCCCACCCAATAAGCGTAAATAGTTGTCGCGTGTTACCCAACGCTAATGCTTTCCCAATCTCGTTTTCACCACCCACCACTGCTCGCAATCGATGCCAAGAATCTTGGTCAACTTTGTTCATATTGCTTTCACTTTTAATCATGATCAGAGCCAGCTGGAATCAATCTTCTCAAATGAATCAGTTTCGATGATGTCGGCGAAATTCACTGCAGATGTAGGTTACAAATACGCCAAGTTTACTCAAGATGAGCATCGCTGTCAAGTTCGGATAAATGCTTAACTAGCTCTACTCCAAATTTGTATTTGACGTCCTCATCTTCCAATCAACCATAGACAGAAAACAGGAGATAGTCTGTTTCTTGTAACCAGTTAGGCACAGAAATGCACGAGCCTGTACTAACGCATGATCGGTATCCAATCGAGAAGCGCACTTTCTGCCCTACAGCTCAACCCTATGCATACACTAGCAAGTCCACGAGAGCTAGCCATATAGACAATGAAATGATTCACTGTCAATTTTGTAAAGATTAAACACATTCTATAGATCAGCCAAAAGACACGTTCTTTTCTTCATACCATTAAAGTGTAGAAAAAGTTGATAAAGTCTAATCAAATCAAACCATTTTTTAATTCCACATGAAAACACACTATGTGAAGCATAATCATGCATCCACTGTTACTTTTCTACGAATGCTTTTGAATTCTATTCTATTTACTTTGATAGTGATGATGGATAGTACCTAACAATGGAATACAGGATGCGAATTTAGTCTTAATTGGGGCTCGTTAGAAGGATATACTTACTTCCCATTGAGACTCGAAACCAAGACGGATCGCTACAAACATCAGGGCATCATCCACTAGGCCACTCTCTATTTTCTTTTACATAGCAGTATTGTTTTCCTTATGCAAAGAATTCCCTGAACACATAATAGTCACTGATAAACAGTATCAAAAACAACAGACAAACACATGCGTAAGGGTGTTTTTGCTGAATTTTATTCTAAATTGAGATATAAAGACCGAAGTATATAAAATACTGAATTTGTAAAGGTAAGAATGTGTTAACGACAAGGAAAATAGTTGATTCCTCCAAAGCGTAGAACTCAGAGGAGTAGTATGAAATGAACAACAGATGTTTCAATTAATGCAGAGAAAATGCATAGAATAACACTAACCTCAGGCGTCGAACGAAGATTACAGATGGTTGGTGCATATCTAGACCTTGGTAATATCCAACGGCTTCTAATTGAAAATGTGCGGATTTCATTCTTGATGTTGTAAACAGATCGAAATGAAAAACATACTGGCTTTAGTCGATGATCCCGAAAACGACTCCACACGCTCCACTGCATCACGTTATGAATAGTGAAATGGCGACAAATTTAGTGAACCATCATCATATGGAGACTATTTTTTTGATGAAAAAAAAGTAAAGTTTAAAATACTGAACTATTATAAAGAATAATCAAGTATGCTATTGAGAAACAAGTTTGATTGAATTGGCGGTCTTGTAATCGCTTTAGTTCCATACACCTGAATTACTCGACAACTTTATTCAAGACTTCCTTTCAATTTAGTCACTCCTACTAAAAATAGTAGACCTCAGATTTCGTTAATTATTTAAAGCTTCGAAGTTAAGGATTGGTGCTTTGATTGACTAGTGTTACTTAGGGTATGAAAACCAGATATGATCCATCCTGACTGGTATCATTTGCTTCAACCTTTAAGGGAGAGAAATCTTACTGCGATAATCATAGAGAATTAGACTGATGAGCATGGTGTATGAGATTTCCGATCCAACAATCATCAGTCGCCAAAATGAAGCTCGGGAATATAAGGCTATAAAAGAACCAGGTTCCAAACTTCATCACAGATGTAGCTATAAGATCTTGTGGCAGCCTTTCATTGAAAAGGTTGCTGAGCAGATACATTACTCCATCGAAAGATTGTTGTTGTAGAAAAGCGAATATTGAGCTGTCAGATGCTTTGTATACAACGAATGGTATGTAAAAGATATCCATACTCTTTATTGGTGATTACCTATGGTAAAAATAGTCTTAGAGAATTCATCTTCACCTGATATGACTTAAAGAAGATTAACTTTGTCGCGATAGACTCCTTAGTAGACCTAGAATACACAGATAATATAATCTTCTTAGGTGATGCTGACGAGATGTAGTCTTTTTGACTCCCTAAGTGATAATTCTTGGGATAAATTTCTAGCTATCTATACGCAAATTATTACTTTAGGACTGGTTTACATCAGTGCTTCTAACGACAGAAACTGACGTTACTGAAAACGTTGATCAGTTCATTTACTCAAGGAGTCAGATTAGCCTGGTGGACATAACCGGTGAAATCTCTGTATAGGATACAAGAGACTTGATCGGGTTTGCTAATTTTCATCATCTATGAAGCGGCAAGATGTCCGATTATATACGAATGGGTATGAAACATGACTGTTAGAGGTGTGAGATATGTGAAGGATTTTGTCAAACAACCGAATTTGTACGGTATGATCTTGGACAAGAGTAAAGTCAGTTGTTGATAGAAATGTTCATCAACTTCAGTGGATGAAACGCATTATCGGTCGGTCTAACCTATTGTGCTATTTTACCAGTAGTAAGATCACGTTTAAAACACTCTTCCATTTCTTTCCCAACTTCCGTTTCTACCTCCAGAATAGTCGTTGGATTTTTTTTCTATCAGCAACCTTATTATCAGTTCTTGTAACTGTAATCACTCAATTCTTGTGACTTCAATTAAATGACATCAATGTTATCTTTTCTTCAAACCAAGTTTCTCATCAAATTGATCTAAGTATATTTACGGATTTTGGTGTATATTTTGAGATTTAAATTCCAAAATGTAATGGATTCACGGTTTTTTTTTTCAAAACTGTTGTTGTCATTAATGTTGACACTTATAATAGGAAGGCATGGTATGAGACTGTATTACCTAACGAGTCCTTATAATCCTCGAGAGTTTCACAAAAGACCAATTCAATGTCGATAATGTGAATCAACTCTCAATTTTAATAAGTGAATACAAATTTATTGAAGTCTCCCAGCAGAAAGGTTGATGAACACATACATATATATTTAATCAATGAATCTGAGATGCTCACACACTAATCATCATCATCATCATTATCATTATCAACATAGGACCAGGCACTACTGCTTAACGGTCCGAGTTGCCACACCTCATATCAGCACATCAAGTAAAAAGGTAGTGAGGCGAAGGATGAAGATAAGTGAATGCAGTCAAAAGAAATATAAAGTACGAAAAGAAAGGAAAGAGAAGTAACAAAATGGTGAGATTCGGTATAGCGATGTTAAGATGAGGATAATGTGTGTATACATCTGCCCCACTGACATCGGTTCTCAGCCATATCATCTAGGGTCTCCAACCACTGGTTCCTCCTATCCCGTGGACCCCAACCACCTAGTCTACATCGTCCTACATGGCTTAAACCAACAGTCAGAGACTTCATACATTGGTGCCATGTTTTAGTCTGGCCACCTCGGGCCTTTCTCCAGTCTGGACCCACCTCAGCCAACATTGTGTGACGAGGCAATCGGTGACTAGGCATACGTAGTACGTGTTCCAACCATCTCAGTCGATGAAGGTTCACAACCTCGTCAACTGATTTACCTCTTCTACCCAAAACTCTACACCTAACTTCTGCACTAATCAGATGTAGTCATATCTAAACACAGTAACAGACAATAGTCTAAAACATTCATACTGATAATTCGTAGTATCTAGAATAACTTAAGATATTTACCAAGCATTTAGAACTGGTTAAGCAATTTTTCGAAAATGCTTACTGGTCAAAACTGATTGCAAGACAGAGTGAGGCGACTATTCATTTTATTTAACTTCTTCAATATGGTTTATATCAAGTTTGATATTTTCTTTTCTATGCTTATTTCCATTTTAAATGATGTTGAAGAGTGTAGTAACCTGGATTATCACAATTTTGTGCACAGTCCTACAATGAACCATCTTTCTAACGTGAACTGTAACAATAAAACTTACATATACTCGATTGTAAATCTCTGAAGCAATGCTTAAGCATGATAAAATACTTTAACATCAGAACTACTTTATAGAAAACTAAAATTGAGGTCTCAATATCCGTAGTTATTGAATAACATTACCAAAATAATAGACGATTGTATATTTTACTGTGCATATCATATAGAAAAATGAATAGGATAATAAAAAAAAATTTAAAAAAAAAGGGAAAATTGTTTTAGGTTTTCAAAGGACAATTCATGCACCAGTCTAAAACAAAGTTTATACTATAGCACAAATCAGCCTTCAACACAACAAAAAATTTCACAACATAATATGACAAACACAATAATAAAAACTATTGAATATTATATATTCACAAATGTATATTTCAAAAAGCATAGTGAATAATTTACAAAACAATTTCCATGTTATTCAAATACACAAAATATAATGAAAGGAAAGAATACTAGTGAATTGTGAGGGGAAATTTCACTTCAATAAGATGTTAGCATAATTACATTAAAAAAATGTTGACAAAATACATTTGCAGTAAAGTATACACAGATCTAAATGAACTAACTAACTATGGTTACAGTAAACATTAACAGTGATACGTGTTAATGACAGTATTCTTTTCAACTAGTTCTTTAAAGAATCTTCAAAGCATGTAGTGTAAACATAGTAAACACAACTGAGCATTTTCATATGATGCCTATTTGAAAACGGATATTAACGAACTAAATTTATCGCTATTATTGTATATCCAACATTTACAGCAATGTACATAGATAACAAAATTTAATTTCATCCGTGTAGAATTTTTGATTAATCTGACTACTAGACAACTGAAGTGACTGACAGAACAATAAGAAATACAAGACTGCTACTAACACAATAAGATAATTCGACTGTATACGCATAGTTACTGTGTTCTACACAACCTTATGACTTCACTGAGGCACAAAAATCAGAAGACAAAGATCGATCTGTGACTGTAAGGAAAACTCCTTGTTTGACAAAAAATACATCACCTATGTACAGTTCTCATCAACATAGACAAAACCACTAGGTTACAAGTTGGATACTTATTTTGATTGTTGAGCAATGGGACAAATTTGTCCAATAAGGTTTTTTGTGACCACACAGTAACATAAAAAAGGCTAAAATCTAAAACTTCTACCTTAGCGATTGATGATTTGGAATGTTGATTTCAATTAAGACCGCTTCCTATCAACAACAACAACAACAACGTTCGGAGATATCTATTTCGTCAAATTATAAGATCAATGCCTTGGAATTGATAAACTATCGACAAACTATCAATATATATATATATATATATATATATATATATATATATATATATATATATATATATATAAACAAGGTTTACTGTTGCATAGAAATTGCATAAATAAACGAATAATAAAACAGAATCCTATTCACTAGTAAAAGCCAATAAGAAAGACAAACTAATGAGTCATATTGTTAGTTGTTTGTATACAAAAACCAGTAGTATAGTTACACAACATGACACTTGTTACACGTAGGGCGTTGAAGAGAAACCTACAGGTAGAGTAAAAAAGAAAAACTACAATGAAATATTTTAACACCATTTGTAACGATACATCAATGCCTACCTTTTCAAAGTATCTTACTTCCGCAAACAATATCTAGAAAGCCACATTTTATAGAAAAATCAAAGGTGAAAAACCGGTTTCAAATACAGAATCACCTTGATAACATTATACGCTAACGTAGAGAAAGTGAAGTCGTACTACCGGTTGGACGAAGTGTCAAAACAGCAAGCCGTTAACCTTGGAAGACCAGCAGTGGCAAGCTGATGATGCTTTCCAAACAGGAAGAGCTAGGATAGAAAACGGCCCAAAAGAAACACACTCTTTTCTTCCCCATAGTTTCAACAGGGCCGGGTATTCTTAGTTCGGCGAAAAAGAGATGGCATCCCACAGCACCAATCCTCAGAAGGCTATGTGACAGCCCTCAAGCAGATATCCCATGGGCTGTGTGGTCACACACTATCTCTTCTGTTTCAGGTACCTTAGGGAGTAGCGACCTTTCACCACGTGGACAACCAGGAAATCTCAACCACCCGCACGCTTCCAGTACTAAACAAGACCCAATCAAACATAGACTATCCTCTTCAACTCTGTCTTCTCCTTTACCTTAACTCTCTGATACTAACATTAAGCTTCTTATGCCTTACCCAACCTCACTCTGCAAACATTACCAGTGATCGAAGCCATCAAAACCTGATTCCTATTCTGGTACAATTTGGTTCTGACAACCACTCGTTTCTGATTGGCACTGACTTTAACGCTGGAATAAGGAAGCTGACCGAGTCGGAATGGCATCCTCGAGGTATTTACGGAATCTCATACCAGTAAACCTACAACGGGGATCGTCTGGTGCCATTTGGCTATGACAACCGCTTGTTTCTGGTCAGCGCTAACTTCAAACAGGATAAGGAGAGACACTATCTCTCTCTCATGGAATACGGCAACATCGAATCAACGATGAACACAGATAGATCATATTACTTGTTATCAGTCATCGTTGGATCGATGGTGGATTGCTACTTTTATGGAGTACCAATTCACACTCCGATCAGGCGTGTTAGTACGGGCTCCTGAAGAGGAAGTAGGCATTTAGGTCGGAGTTAGCTAAGCATTCACCTGTACATGACAAGAATGCTGAGAATGAGGAAACTTGGCGTCTGCTGTAAGAACACCGGTAAAGACAACTGTTAACCTACACTCGAAGTTTAGGAAACATCATTAGATTTCCACGATGTCACCGCAACGAATTGATGCGATAAGACTAATTCTAGCGGGCTCTGACCAAGGTGAAGAGTGAAAACAACTCAAACATAAGTTAGATAAGAGTCTCCGTAATGATCTCAGGCGGTGATGGGTGGTGGAAGTGAGGCTGAGAAAGCATTAACGTATAAGAACACGGCAACTATTTAGGCTCATTGTGGATACTAGCAAGAAAAAGACGATCGTCAGAGAAACCATCAGCAAAGAGGATAGAACGCTGATAAACTCCTAGGAGGAGCGATCAGAATATTGGGCAGAAGACTTTGAAGCACAGTTTAACTGGCCAACAGCAACGCTGCAGTTACTCAACACCGAGTCTAAACCTGAATGGGAAGTTGATGTCGGTCTTCCAACTCCTTGAAGTTAAGAAAACTGTATTGAAACCTGAAACGATGGGAAGCAGCGGAAACTGACAGTTTTCCATGTGAAGTTTTGACAGATGGAGGTATGAAATTGCTAATTACAGTGACAGAGGTAATAGGAAGTGTATGAGAATTAAAGGTTGTGTCGTCAGACTGGTGTACTTCACTGATCATCTCAGTCTATGAGAAGAGAGAGAAGACTTGTTGTGACAGCCACACGGCAATTACTTTGATTAATATTGTGTCCAAGATTTTAAGGTCCACAGTTATTCGACGCCTATCTGTATCTATAGGATAGGAAACTCGAGAAATCGAGATATGTTTCAGATCTAGATGCGGAATGCATCGATCACCTTTCGACTCTTCTGATGCTTGAGGACTGGTGTGGGACTGTTCCTATTTTAAGGATAGTGAGTGAACTGGTGGAATATGTCGACTAATTCACCTACTGGGTAAGTTGTATCAGCCTCCCGAACGAGATGGTTGCTGACGAAGCCTCATCTTGGATACTTAAGGCCTTATTTGGATTTGCGAACATGGGTCATTTGTGGCCCCGACTGTTGAGATGTCGAAACACCTTTGGGAGGATAAGTATTTTGCGCTGTAGTCTGCTCTGTCCTGTTGTACGGCTATCAGGCACGGCTATTACCACTGGAAGACATGGAGCGGTTTCAGGTTTTAGTCTTCGTAACAATGGTCGGCTTAAGTGGAATCAACATGTAGGCAATGTTGAGGTTAGGCAAAGGGTACTAGACAAAAGACGCATGTCGACTGATTAGATTTTGAACCGTAGTCGACTGAGATGGCTTGGACGTGTACTGCACATCCCGAGCCGCCGCCTACCTCGACGTGCCATGCTAGGGAAGTTGGATTAGGTTGAAAGAGGATTCTGAGTGACCAGGTCAATACATGACACTGGTTGATGAAGTCCTTGACTGTTGGTGCGAGCCATGTTAGGGGGATGTAGATTACCTTGTTGGGGTGCAGCAGATGACAGGAATCAGCGGGGTGAGGACTCTTCATGATATGGCTGAAAGTCAGTTACAGTGGTGCAGGCGTAACAACTCTTCGACGTCTTCTAAAACTTGAATATTTGCACTAAGCGTTACCTTCGAGTTATTTATTCTAGCACACTGGTTTATCTACTTTGATATCATTCTTTTTCTATCCACCTGTTCTTTGCACACTACTGTGAAATGTAGCAAATTGAATCGATGACTTGAGTGTGAAGTTTCACTTTGATTCTGTCTACTTGTCTGTACGGAAAACTTTATTTTAAGCCTGTCGCGGATTTTGAAATCTGTGATAGGTTTCATCTTCAATGAATATCAGCTAAATAACTACTGAGAATCACGGAGTGCTGATTAACTGTCTCATTTATGGAGTATTCGTGGCGTTGTGACTCACTGATATAAACACCCGATTTCCAAATGGTCAGTTACAAGCTCAAATTCTTCTCTATCCACCGAGATTTAGGTGACCAGGTAGTATCAAAAAAGAAAACAGCAACTACATGCACATACATTGAGCTACAGCCATTGTGTGAGAGCGAATAACATTACCCGGTTGCCCAGATCTCAGCAGATCAAGGAGGCTTTGAACGCATGACCTATCTGTTGAAAGTCAATTGCCTAAAGAAAGGAACCAAGTACTATCATTATCCTTCATACAATATAAGTGTTTTTATGCCGATTACACGAAAACGCATACATTTACTATATGCATTTTGATCTCCAGAGGTCAAATAAGATATTTCTAATGAGCTGGTTGGAAAAAGTTGAATTTCTGACAATTGGATTCTCAGGAAATAATGATATTCAACGTTAATGACATTAACGTTGCGACGGAAACATCAACTTCCCTTTATTATATGGCTTGCACTAGATATTTTTCATCAAAATTTAAAAGCGTTTACACAGAAAGACTAAAACATACAGTTAATTTTGGCAGTGAAGTATTCTGACGTGGATTATAATTGAAATCATTTTCTAAATCACAAGGATCAACAGCAATAGAACATCGTACAACATCGAAAAGTTTAATTTCCATATAGAAGCAACCACAACTGGGTAGCACATCCTTTGTACCAACAGTAACATCTTGATTATTAGAAACAGCTGTTGAACCGTTTCCGTTAGTATTTTCACAGTCACTATTCCAAAGGAGACAAAGCTTTCCACCTTCAACTACTTTCCCCATAGCAGTTCGTGGAGGAACAAACTCATAACTTTTTAAATTCAAATTCTGAAATAGTCAAAATATAAATAAGTTGGCTTAGCTATAAAACTAAAACAATATTTATAAATTGGTCAGCATATTCAACTCAACAGGCAGTGATTGATAAGTAAAAACAATAAATCAAAAGAAAATGTAGCTGGATGTGGGAGTTGATACAGAAAAATATAGGGTGAAGATTGAAGGAAGATGAGATGAAAATCTGGACCGCTACCGGATTCCAACCAGCGACCACTGGGTTACCAGCCCGGTGCTCTACTAACTGAGCTACGAGGTCCGACTCGTCACCAGAATTTTATTTTACTTCAATCATCAAGGGTTTTGCCCAACTATCATGTGAATTCGTAACGCATCACTACCGCTTGGTCGTATATTCACACTAACTGCCTAGTCTCGACCTATCATCCCAATCTGACTGAATCAGAGAGAGGGAGCATTATATTGATTATCATAATCAGCAGACGGACCTCGTAGCTCAGTTGGTAGAGCACCGGGCCGGTAATCTGGTGGTCGCTGGTTGGTATCCGGCAACGGTCCAGATTTTCATTTCACCTTCAATCATCACCCAGTATAAATACTAGTCTGCCAAACTACGGCTATCTCAGATAGTCAAATGATAAATAACAGTTCTTATTCCGAAGAAAAAGGATGTGATATTGCGAAATTCAACAATATCAATGTCTGCAGTTTCCATTTCTCGATTACTTCAATTTCATGGAACATAATCACCAGATCTACACCAATTCACGCATATATTAGACCAATAAGCTATTACTTCTTAAGAAATGTATCTCTCGAAGCTTTCACCGTTTCACTTCTACTTCACGTGATAGCACTCACAGATGTATACGGTATCTGGATACACATAATCATGTAGGTAGGTGTAGACTACCTATCTGGCGGGAGGTCTCCGAGACCAGAGGAATTATTGATTGCAGATTTTTGCAGACATGATTGAACATCGGTGTCACAATGGCGCAGATGTATTCACTCTTTGACGTCTTCTAAAGCTTGAATATTCTCACTAATCTTCATCTTCAAATTGTTTCTCATCTTTAATACACCTTTGTCTATTTTGATATCAGTTTTTTTATCTTATCCACTTGTTCTTTGTATACCACTGCCAAGTGTAGCAACTTGATTTTGTATCTGTCTAACGCTATACGGTAGACAAAGATACAGGAAATACATTTGTTGGGGATACCTACATCCATTATATTCCATACCTACAGTTGGCATACGTTTGAACTAGTTTATTTCGTGCTCTTTTCCCACGCATGGGTCATATTTCGTATGAACCGCTATTGTTCTGATTAGCTCCTGTCTCTTTAAATGTACTAATTATTCATTGTCTTTCAAGGTTACTGTAAATTCTGTAAATAAAGTCCGTTTCCACTCATAAACGTTTTCAGTCCAAGGTACTATTAAATCATCTGATTTCCAGTCTTTTGATTTCTTTTTGCAAATCATTTGGGTTGAATCGTTAAGTATTTTCGTTCTTTGTCACAACTCCATATCATAACAATATTCCTTTTTATACGTTCAAAATTTTTCATATCATAACACAAATTTCTACCCAATCAAAATTCAGACAAAAACATGTACCTATAGTTTACAACTGAGGGTCAAAATATTACCCTTTGCCATTAATTATACAACCGCAACATACTAGTTTGATAGACAACAATACAGAAAGATTATTTTGTGGAGCTTGAATATAAAAATGCACAGCAGGATAAAAGACTTTCCAATCCTACCTGCAAATATACTCTTCTAGTGAGTCCACAAGAAAGAATCAAAACATCAAATGAACGATCTAGTAGAGCAGTTACGGCACACGTCTCCATTAGTGGACCGGTTTCCTGTGAGAACAGTAATGAATTAAGAAAAGAATAATATATCCAGTTAATACACATGAAATCAGTGTAACTGACAACTAATAAGTGAATGTACAGAAAAACATTACGATGCTTCTAAGAACATAAGGAGAGTACTAAAAAGAAGTTTATTGAAGTTGACACGAATAAATGAATTACCTTAACGAAGAGAACAAAAAACAACTCAGCACTTTCTTCACTGGCAAGTCGAGCTGATAATTTCTTGGAATTGCAAACCTCAGCTTGCTGTTGTAAATCAAGTGGTGTTATTCTTTTCGGTAAAGCTGTACTTAAGTACCATGCTGCCTTGTCAGCTATAAATGAATCAAAAAAAAGGATTATGAATGCCATTTAAATAATATGGAGTGTATAATATAGGTTGTTCTTTCACTAAATGAGGAGTAATATGTGTGATGAGAAGGTTAGCTATGCTTCTTTACTATTAACATCGAAATGGACAGAAACAAGGCTCCACACCTCTGACTTAGTTGGAACAAATGAATGATCTACATTTCCATACAACGTATACAACTTAGAAGATAACGAATATGAGGGTAAAACAACTTAGGCACTGTGGTAGAATATAGTTCCAATTAAGTTGTATCACAAAAGTCACCTTAGGAATTGCTGAAATAACTAATTTGATTTCTTTATTTTGGGCTAATTTAGTTATCCTTAAGATCTTTCTTAGAGCCATGCGTTAGTTCCAAGGACTGTCACTTCGTTCTACCGTGTTGTATGGTTGTGTAACTGCATTCATAGCTAGATTTAAGCATACAAATTAACTTAAAAACAAACGTTTCAGATTAAAAGACTCTCATGATCCAACTAGGTAGAATAACTTAGTCTATCAAATCTCTTTGCACAATTACGAGGTTAAATACACAGGTCAAATGTGATCGACCCGCGTCAATTAGGCTATTGAAGTACCCAAACCTAGCTTAACCGAGATTGGTAGACCTCAGTAAAATAAAAATCCTAGAAAAAAAGCTTTGCCATAATTATGCACAACATTAGGATGGGATATACTGGCACTACCCGTGAAACTAACTCAGTGGGATGGTGAAAGAGGTTGATAACTGATTCTTTGACCGTCGAAACGACACGAAATAAGTGTGAAACTAATAACTAAGCAGCTCTTCTAGATATACAGGAAATTCTACTACCTATATCACAAAGAAGGAGAGGGAATAAAAACGATATAAGCCAAGTTTCAAAGTTGTGTAGTTACCGTGATATGCGTATGTACGATTAGTAGTGTCTGAAAATAAACTATTTCCCTGTGTGACACATTTATTAAATTGACTGAAGTGTATATAAAGGGTAAGAAATTGTTAATACCATAGTATAATTTACACAATCTATCATATGTGGAGTTTCATTCCTAACCAGTGTTTATTCCTAACGCCGGGAACTTAAAACATGGTACTCAAATAAGCTTTTCAGGTACGAGTATGACCTTGACGCTACTAACTGCATCCCTTATCAGGAATCAGCAGAAACCAGAGGGTCGATATCAACAGCTGTATGTTTTTCTTAAGTAGGAAAGCATGAATCTTTCTACCTGGTAGAAACGTCAGTCTTGTAGTCAAGGCTACTTAATACTTAGATGGAAACATTGTAATACACCTGCTTGTCAAAAAACACACCTCAACCTGATATTATATATATATATATATATATATATATATATATATATATATAAATATATATATATATACTAGGTTGTAAGCCGCACTCTATCTGCGAACGCTTATGATACTACTTAAGTATTCTGACCGAAGTAGGTGGGATAGGATTTGAAACCACAACTCGCTACTCGAAAGATGAGTCCTTGAGCCAATAGGCTTATAACAAAATAGGATAGCGGGAACGTATCCCAGGCAGTGATCAGTGGCAAAACAGGACACCGGTTCGACTAATTACAGTTTCAATGAATTAAATGATGATTCCCAATGAAATGGCAGGAAACTGAAAAGCATTAGGAAAGGAAGTCTCAGCACCGGTTTCACCGAGTTCCGAACGAATGAAACACACTAAGCTACCTTGTGCACATCCATGCAGTAGGCAGTGAGCCACATCTATTGTGTGAGGGCTAGTGATACTACCTGGCTGCCCAAACCTCAGTAAGTGAAGCGGGGTTCGAACTCGTGACTCAGTGAGCTACAACTTGTCAATGAAACTGTTGTTGGAAACCACTAATCGAGAGAAGTTAGAGTGGAATAATAGTTCACTTTCGATGGAGAAATATGAGTATCGTCTGATAGAAAAGGTTAAATTGGAAATTAGTAAGCCAAGAAGTGATTCCATGTTTTTTTACCTTCAGTTATGGGCGACTTTAAAGGCCATCTTAGCAACGATCGAAGTGACCAATTACGTTCCTTCATTTTGTCTGGGGACGTAAATTTTCATAAAACAGAGTAATCTGATTGGTTATCTCAGCAGTTGGTAGGGTTCGCCTTTAAATTCCCCCTCAGTTATTGCCCTTATCTCGTTCTTACTGTAATTCTGATTTGAGTTTACCCTTGCATATTGCGTTCTTCAGGAATGTGGAAATTTTGTGAACAAAGGATGACATTTTAGCAAATATTCGAATAGACAAATAGAATAAATCAACTAGAACAAATGTGATATAGAGTACTAACGATTTATCTCTTCCTCAACCAAAGTTGCAGACAACTGTCTGTGAACAATAACATCAGCATAACGACGAATAGGAGACGTGAAATGTGTGTACAATTGCATATTCAAAGCATAATGTGCAGGTGATAATTTAGATGGTAGGAGACCCAAACAGAAATATACAGCTAAATTCATTGCCTTAGATAATAAAGCAACTGCAACAAGGAGTCGAGCTTCATGTTCAAGTGTTTTCGGCAGTAACATCTTCTGGTGTTGATTGACAGGATTTATGTCCAAAGTTTCCATTCCTGTTATCAAACTAGTTTCAACTCCTGGCATATTAGACAAGAAGTTTGTACACAATTCGACCAGGGTTTCTGAATAATGATATCCAACTTCAGGATCACAGCCTGCTTCCCGACAAAGAGAAGCCTGAAGAGAAATACATATGAATAAGAAATAAATTCGTTTGCGAGTTATTATTACTGCTAAATAAATAAAATATTATGTAAGCCAGTAACGTCACCTCAATAAAAACTACATGCTAAAAATATGACCAACTTACCGAAAATAGTATCATCAGTTAATTTAGCCAGGACATTTTACAAACTTATTCAGGTTTTGAAGACGTGACAGCATAGCAATATGATATACAGAAACAGAACAAGACCCAATATAACTTTGTTTTCCCGATAAGACTGTTTCTCTGTTTACTGAAATTTGCAGATAAATGATTTTTTTTAACGTGCTCATTGGGAACAATCTTAACAACGCAACAAACAACACCCCCCCCCCCCCCGAGTTACTGGTTTATTTACCATGTGGTTCTTCGAAAGCATGTCAAATAATATGTTTGAACAATGCAAGAATAAAGACAGTTGCAGAATAAAATGAGCTTATTTCATTTCACAGCCTTTCATTAACTGCAAATAGTCTTCAACTGAAATGAAGTGTCAGTAATAATAGTGGCATAACATACTTTAAATATGTAGAAATAAATGGATCATGCAGCAAACAGTGAGGAGCGAAAACGGGCATACGCTGGACCTGGGAAAAGATCCTAGAAGATTTGGATTTCGCCGATGACTTGTATCTAATGTCACATAAACTTGAAAATCTATAGGCAAAACTAACAGGTTGACAGAATAGGCAGCGAAGACGAGACTTCAAGTGAACATAGAGAAGACAGAGATGATGAAGATACCCAACCAACAACAACAAACATCAATCACCATGAAGAAGAGAAACTTAAAGAAAGTAGCCTCTTTCACCTACCTAGGTAGGGCAGCATCGTTTCACCCACAGGCGGCACAGACGAGGATGTCAAAGCAACCAGGATCGCAAAAGATATCAAGACAGGCGTTCATTAGCCTGAGACCAGTGTGGAGATCTTCTGCACTCAGTACAAAGAACAAGATCCGGATTCTCAACACCAACGCCAAGTCAGTGCTTCTGTGTGATGGTTCAGAGACTTGGAGCGTTACGAAAGGGATTTCCAATAAACTACAGACATTCATCAACAACTGCCGCTTACGCTAGCTCGTTACTGAAGATCAGATAGATGGCCAGAAAGAATAAGCAACAAGGAACTCTGGTTTGCCAACGAACCAACCAAGAAGCTATCGCTGAACAAACATGCAGAAGGAAGTGGAGATGGATTGGGCATACACTGAGAAGACCATTCAGACACATCACGCGCCAGGCCATTCCCTCAAGTAGATGGGAAACGACGGGTTGGATGTCCGAGGGTGACATGGAGATCGTGTGAGGAAGAAATGAGAGCTTGTGGGCAGTCGTGGAGCCAGGTCCAAAAGATTGCAGAGAACAGAGTGGAATGAAAACGTGCTACTGAATCCCTATGTTCCACTAAGAACCCAAAGGACAAATAATAGAATCATAATAAAATGAAGATTTGAAATCTAGGAGTAACAATAAGGGAGTGAGGAAGTCAAGGAAACACAGGATTAATAATCATAAATCATAAACCAAAATCAAGGGCAACTTATGTCACATGATACAGAAAATTCAGGAGCTGTGGAGTGGGAGGGGTGGGGACAATAAACAAACATCAGTGTAAAAGAAGGGTTGCTAAAGAGCAGGTAGGTTGCGTAATTACGTGAAAAAATTGGAAAATCGTTAAGTGATTAACAATCAGTAAGCAAGAAATTAATAAGGAGATGATGCAATCAGAAGAAAAGAGGAGACTATATGCAGAGACGTGCAAAAATACAGATATCAAAAGACTTAGAGGGCTTGTATCTGAAAACTTGGAAGGATTTTAATGACCATTTATTAATCAGAAAAGTTTGATTGTTTAAATGACTGGTTTGGAGTAGAAGCAACTACAAGGCTTTAAGAATAAATGTTGTGAACCATTTCAAATATAATAGTGATACTCTATTCCTTAAATAATGCATAGAATTAACTAACCTGTATGGATCCAGCTGTGTCGATATCTACTTTAATTCCAGCTACATTTAAGCTAGTTGCAACATCTGTTAGCTGCTTCATTGACGGTGGTGGATGGCGTCTAAGAAAAGCTAACTCTGGTAGGTACTTGGCTAAACGTTCACCAACTGCCTTATTCGCTGCTAACATCCACTCTTCAATAAGCCAGTTGCTTTGCTTCGTTATATAAGGAGCTAAACCTAACGGTAGCCCATTACCATCATCCAGTGAAAACGATGACTTGACTTGATCTAAGCGAAGAGCACCAGAATGAAAACGTTTTTTACGCATTTTAACAGCCAACTAAAAGGTTAAAAGTGAGTCTTAGTTGTTAGAATATAGGCATTATATTAAAAAAAAGGAGTAAATTTTCTAATAAAAAGCATATAACAATGGAAATAATCCCTGAAAAGCGCTTCTTTGCTTCAGAGAAGAACTTCTCAGAAAAACATTCATACGTAACAAAATTATCTAAATTACTAAGGATTACAGTGAATCGTCTGGAATCTCATCTATTATCAATAAAAATGGTAGTTAAGATATGTATTTACAGTAATTAGAAGCTTTTTTTTAGAAATATATCGAAAACTCACATTGTTCAATCTCAGGACATTCTGATGGATATCCGATACAGTATGTGGGTGCTCCACATTGATAAAATCACTGGAAGTCCAGTCCTTATCTGGATGGTCAATAAACTCCTGAAATAATGTATAGAATAATGCATTATACGCATGAAAATAAATTCGAAGTAACGATTTATAAATAGATGAAGTTAAATGAATCTGAGCATGCAACAAACCACATGTCTTAACACAAGTATAAATACTAGTCTGTCAACCTACGGCTATCTCAGATAGCCACCACCACCATCTATGGCACCGCCGTGATATCCGTTTGTCTATTAGGGGTGGCGTGTACTGCACAACAGTTCGGTCTGTCCTACTGTATGGCTGTGAAACATGGTCACTGAAGGTGGAAGACATGAGAAGGCTGGCTTCAGGTGTTTGACCACCGTTACCTTTGTAGTATAAGCCGTATTCCGTGGTATCATCACGTGAGTAATGCAGAAGTCAGGAGTAGAGGTAAATCAGTTGACGAGGTTATGAACCTTCATCAACTGAGATGGTTGGAACACGTATCACGTATGTCCAGTCACCGATTGCCCCGTCACACAATGTTGGCCGAAGTAGGTCCAGGCTGGAAAAAGGCACGAAGAAGCCAGACTAAAACATGGCATCAATGTATGAAGTCTCTGACTGTTGGCTTGAGCCATGTGGAGCGATGCAGACTAGCCGGTTGGAGTCCGTGGGACAAGAGGAACCAGTGGCTAGAGATTCTAGGTGATATGGCTCACAACCGATGTCAGTGGCGCAGATGTATACACACATTATTCTTATCTTAACACTATACCGAATCTCACCATTTTCCCATTCTTCCTTTCTCTCTTTTCGTACTTTATATTCCTTTTGATTGAATTTCCTTATCTTAATCTTGCACCTCACTACCTTTTTTACTTGATGTACTGATATGAGGTGTGGCAACTCGGACCGTTAAGCAGTAGTGCCTGGTCCTATGTTGATATTGGTGATGATGATGATGATGAGATAGTTAAAACAATAATTTTATCACTTCAAAAAATGACCAGCAAAGAAAGATATAGAATTATTCATTATAACTAGCCTTTAGTATTAATAGTTATGCTCTGAGTTGACTGTATTTACTGTTCTATTTTATTCTAGATATGCACCGTTCAGTAGATTGTTTCCACCAAAACGATTGTACTAGCAACAAATTTATTATTAACACATTGTGAAATCATCGTACTTAACTAAAAGTTCTACTACTGACTTCAAATCATTTATATACAAAATATGGTAATAGTAGAGAATTTGGTATTGTATAATGTTAAAGGTTGAAAAACTAACAACATTAACTGAAAAACGTCATCAGTTCCTGGATCATAAGATGTAAGCATTTTAAAGTGGAATAAAGTATTGGTAACAAGAATCACAGTAACCATATATAAAAACAAGTATCACATGGTATGCATCATAAATTAGCAAGGTATTTCAGTGGACACTTACCTGAGCATCTTCATAAGTGAGTTTACAACAGGAACGAATTAATGTCCGACCAAACCACGTAGTCAAAATCTGCAGTTGAAAAGAAATAGGTTTGATATAAATAAAGTATGTTAGACAGACAGACAGACAGAATCAAAGTAGAACCTCGCACACAAGTATATCGGTTCAATTCGCCACACTTTATAATAGTATACAAAGATAGGTGGATAAAAAAGAGTGATATCAAAGAAGATTGTGTGAGAATAAACAAACTTAGTGCAAATATCCAAGGAGTGAATATATCTATGCCACTGAGACCAATTTTCAGCCATGTCATGTACAGACATCAACTACTGATTCCTTTCATCTCAAGGACCTCAGCCAGGTAGTCTACATCTCCCAACATGGTCTGTGTCAACAGTCAAAGACTTCATCGACTGGTTTCAAGTATTAACGTTGGTCACCCTGAATCCTCTTCCAACCTAATCCAGCTTCCCTAGCATGGTACGCAGAGGTAGAAGATGGCTAGGTATACACAAAGCGCGCCTAAGCGACCTGAGCCGACTACGGTTCACATCCTACCTAGTCCATTTGCACGTCCTGCCTAATACCTTTCGCCTGACTTTAACACTTTACGTGGTTATCCCAACAAACGCGAGCAATGCTATCAAGACATCTATGACAAAGTGATGCAACACACTTTCACATACATTTTATTGTAAACTAATTACCACGGCAGTGCGAGGTCGACAACTACATGTGCTTTGGCGCATACATGTAGATTGGTAGATAGGATTGGAAGTTAGTAATATGAGGTGAAAATGTGTCCATTTTCGACTGACACAATGAAAACTTGGCCTGGTATTAACATATGAAGTTGTCAGTTGGATACGTTCTATTTAGTGTTGAACTGAGCCAGTATTTCAGACTAGCAGCGACTTTACTAATCTTAAAGGTGAGTTGTGAAAATCCAAGTTTCTTTACGTATTACACTTCATGTATTCTTCAGTGGACCCCCGATAAACATGACGCAAATGTTTTTTTAACAACAGATAATTCGTCTTTAATTTCCCTTCTGAGCACAGCTTCTTTGTACGGTTCAATAACGTTCTAACTAACTTCTTTTCGGTTATCATCGAAAAGAAGCATTCGAAGGGTTAAAATTTGCTTTAGGACTAGTCTGTTTTGATGCCCTGTTGGTCGACTAAAAGCAAAATGATTGACCGTGTTGCCTATTTAACTGACTTACGATGTATGATCAAGCGTTGGTAAGTCAATGGCCAAAGAAACCTCTACATAGATACAAAAGGCATTTGTCAACTCCTGGCAATTACTTTGTCACGATAATATCCTATTGCTTTTGAAGATTCAAGTGTACTATGCTTCGCTCTGTCCTACTGTGTGGCTGTGAAACATTGTCACTGAAAGTAGAGCATACGAGAAGGCTCCAGGCGTTCAACTAGCAATGCCATTAGGAAAATCTTATTTCAATTTTCTAAGCATCTCGGGATTGTTTCAAGTCTATTTTATCTTCATGCATATAATCTATAGGCAGTACGATTCCACGTATGTATGGTCTACCAAAAATACAAACCGGAGGTGAATCAATTCACCCTATCCTAGACATGACCTTTGCGTGACCAATGAACAAAATATAGCGTGACGGATACCTTCAAATTTGTAGACAAAATGAAAAACTTGAATGTTTTAAATAAATGCATAGGATCTCTAGATGTCACATCTTTGTTTACTAATATCCCTCTAATAGAAACCATCGATTATATTAGTAAACAATTACTGGAAAGAAAATTAGATATAGGCATTCCAATTATGATTTTGAAAGAACTATTGCCAAAATGTACAATGAATGTCCAGTTCATCTTCATTAGTAATCTGTACAAGCAAGTTGACGGAATGGCTATGGGATCTCCATTGCACCCAATATTTGAAGACATACTTTTGGCAAAATTGGGAAATGATCCTTTGAAAGATCAAATTACCTGTATAGAATTGTACTGTTGATACATGGATGATACTTTTTAAGTCTTTGATAGGTGCATATGTATTAATTCTATTCTGAACCGTTTCAATAGCGCTTATCCATCAATTCATTTTACATATGAAAATAAAGTCAATGATTCAATACATTTTCTTGATTTGCTAATGACAAGAAACACAGATGGCTGTACGGAGAAGTATTTATCGAAAACTAACGTCTAAGGCACATTATATACACTCTCAGCTTCGTACCAATGAAGTACAAACATAATATAATCAGTTGCCTGTCATTTAGAGTAAGATCCATGAGTGTATGGAAAAAGTACTGCTGTATATCCGTGATATTCTAGGTGAAAGTAGATATCCGGATAAGTTCGTCAAACCTAATATCAACTACAATGATCCTAAACGAGAACTGATGACAATGGAGAAGAAGCCTTTGTTTCTGAGCTTATAATTTAAGGAAGATGCCGCAAGTGACATTCTATCACAACGCCCAGCTAGAGCAGTCAGTAGGACGTTTCATGCAGGTTGGCTTTGTATATCATTCAGTAGTCGACCAATGCTCAGTCCGAAACGAAACGATAGCCTACCTAATCCTAGCTCTTCATCTTCCATATATCAGCTTAACTGTCCATGTGGAACTAGTTACACAGGACGTTCGATTAAGCAGGTGCATCTTCGGATACGATAGCATTGGCCAGATTGGTTTGGAAAGGGTGCAGTGAAGGTGGTGAAAAGTTCAGTTCTAGCCCATCTAGTCGACACAGGGCATCACATAGATGCTAGTTAATAAAGCTTTCAATGTCATTCATCGTGTATGTAGCTCGCCAACGCATGCTCAACATAGTGGAGGCTGTTGCAATAAGATTGATAAAGCCTGAATTCTGCATTCAGAAACAACATGTCCAAGCGATACTTCTCCCTTGGCCTTCAGCTAACTAAAGGCAATTCCTGCAATCTTATTCGCTATGTTTTTCTTCACCATCATATCATTCTTCTGTATATTTATCATCCCAATACTGACTAACTTAAAAAAAGATAAATCGGTTTCCTTACAATCCCTAGATCTCACTCCATTTTGAAAATGTACCTGGTCATAACTTGGCTTGTTTTTACTCTGTACAAATGCATTTTATAATTGTAGAACCTAATGAGAGCTTATTGAAAAGGATATTCTTCGTTCACAATGTTACTTTTATAAATTTTATGAGAATATTTGTCGGAGTGAAATCTTACAATTCTCTTGAGTATCCGTTGAATGTTTAAAAAGGCGCTAATTAATTCTGACTGAAATAGTCTCCACTTACGTTCACGTATTCACTAAATTCAATTTTTTGAAAACAAAAGAGATCTTTTGCCAAGTAACATCTCGAAAACATGTAAAAGGCAACCGGGGTCAGAGAGAACTTGTATAGAAGATTCAACATCATCCATGGAATTAAGTCATTCCCTTTTATCTAAACTAAAAGATTGTCCATCAAAACTAAATCACAGTGGTTTAGATGCATAATCATATTGAGTTTCTTGATTCCATTTCTTTCTTTGTTTTTATGACTTTCTACTACTTTTGATGACTACTTTATTTCTCTATCTTTCATCTTGGTGCCTGCTGAATAGATGTACTGATGATATGCAGTGTGGCAACTCGAATCACTATGAAATGATACTATATCCCATGTTGATATTGACTGACTGATTAGTTATAAAATTGCTTAAAATAGTTAGCAATATGAATGAGTATTATCAATATTCCGCTAGTTCAAAACACACATCACTTCGTCATCAAAACATTTGTTTCAATACTAATATGTACTCTAATATAATTTGACCTTTTTTGTTACGAGAATATGTGGTGTATTGACCAATGAATAAAACTGGTATCACATTTCTTTCAATGGACGAATTCATTGAGTGACTACTACCTTTATTTCTCGTAATGCCTATGTGTTCAAAAAGGTAGTTTGGGTTAATACACTACTCAGCTTAGGGATACTCTAAAGATGATGTCTCAATTAAACAATAGTTGTTTGCTGTATAGATAGTTTCTTAAGTATGGTCAATGAAAGAGTATGATTCACTTACCCTGGCATCCTCAGTAACAGTGAATACAACAGAAAATGCGAATTTATCTTCTTTCGGATTAAGACTGCATTGTTCTTCACAGAGTGAACGAGGTAACATAGGTACACACAATTGTACTAAGTATATAGAGGTCGCTCTGTTGGCCGCTTCTATATCAACGGGACTATCAGGTTTCACAAAATATGATACATCAGCTATATGTACACCAACCTAAGAAAAAGACAGCAAAATTTCTGTTAATATACATCAATAACATGTTATAACAAGTGTGTTATCGAGACTTTGTAAGAATAAGATAAAAACTTCTTGGTGGTACAGTCAGTTGAATTTATTAACTCACTGGAAAAGCGCAGTAGTAAGTTGTCTAATAATCTGTCTGAAGTTGTAAACACTTTAATTTGGATCATTATAAGAGTATATTTTAATATAATCCCAGCGTATTTAGAAAATCAAAAGCAGAATATCACTGCTGAAGAAGCTGTGGCTTACACAGCGAAACGTTCAGAAATATCTTGTTTTGATTTTCTAAATACGCTGGGATTATATTAAAATATATTCTTATAATGATTCAATCAGACTCGGCATTCAACTTCTTCCAGGACATTTGTAACAACTATGGTCTGGATGTTTATAACTTTAATTTGAAGTTGGTAAATATCACGTAAATCATATTCAGTGGTTAAACTAAGTAGAAATCAATTCATTTATTGGTTTATCAGAATTTATCGGCTTGAAGGTGATTCTCATAACGAATTGACCTTAGTTCGAAGACCATATAAAACCTGAGAGTACTGGACGACTGCCTTGTCCTCATTTGGGACTCCTTAGTTCTGTGCAACCACAACAAATCTCTATGGCTCCTACTGACTGACTGACAAAATCAGCGTAGAACTTCGCACATAGGTGCATCTACTCAGGTTGCCACACTTTATAGAATTACACAAAAAAGGGGAAAGATATCAAAGTAAATAGTGTGAAAGAATAAACAATCTGAAGACAAAGGTTAATCTGAATATTTAGATGTCAAGGAGTGAATACATTTGCGCTATTGTCACTGATCTTCCGCCACGTCACCAAGGGTCCTCAACCACTCATCCCTTTTGTCTCTTGGACCCCAGCCAGATAGTTTAGATCTTCCATCACTGCTCATACCAACAGTCAGAGACTTTATCGACTAGTGTTACATTTTGGTCTGGCCACTCTGAACCCTTTCCTATCTTAAACCAACTCCCTCTAGAATGGTTAATCGAGGTAGGGGATATCTCGGCATGTGCAGTACATGTAAAACCCATCTCAGTCGACCAGTGCTCCTAAACTTTCAATGGTTCTCAACTGACGTAAACCCATGATAAAGTTACAGTCAAATAAGTAGAAAATTTAAATCTTTACCTTCAATATCCCAAATGGTGGATTAAAGTATTGAAACGGATCTCATGATACACCACGTCGAAAAAACAAGATATACAAAAAGTGTTCGCTAGACACTACGTAGTATCTGATGCATCTGTTTAGGAGGTTTAGAATTAACACTGGCAGATTAACAAACATGTAAATGTGTTGATTAGTTTTCATCAATTTTCTTTTCTTTTTCAACGTGAACAATTTAGGAACTGCTGATAACACTTGGATAGAGAATTCAAGTCAACAAAATATTACAAAACATAATATTTTAGCCAGAAAAAAAAAATAAAATGAGAAAACTTTCCCTTGTATGAAAATGAAACTTCATGGATGGGTGTCCTATCTTAACTTTTTCGAACCCACTATAAATTTGCATGATAACGCACATTCGGCATACAGATCAATTATTAGAAAAATGATTTGTAAATGGAAGGTGAGAAACGCTCAATCCTTCACAATCTCTGTTCAATGAAATGACACCTAACAAAAGTGATAGGAATGATCTAACACCAATCCCAAATACACGGAAAAGTCTAGTAATATTGAATTGAAAAAATAGAAAATAGTAGAACAAAATAAGTTCACTAAAGGGTGTATAGTGAGATCAATATCCATAGGGTCAAACTAGAAAAAGTAGACCTTAATGAACAAGCTGAATAAAAACAGAGGAAGTGAACTATCCCAATTAATGCTTCAGTGAACAGCATACTGTAGGCTCCAACGCACTAAGTATTCAAGTTTAAGGTCTTTTGTAGGGCAAAATGCTTACCAAACCTCTCGACCAACGCAGTAAAATGTCATCTCTGGGTTAAGAAATACAAACTGTTGGAAATCGATGTGTTTCAAGATATGGCAAAGGGTAAAAATCTAATCGAAAATGACCTTGCTATCTTAATTCTGCTGTTCTTGAACTCCAATTTTTCTAGTTGACCTAAATCACTGTCTACTATTGTAAATAACCGCTGCCGTCACTGACTTTCTCAGTCTGCGTGTAAGCCACCTCTGCTCTCCATCGTACTAAGTACCCGTGAGAGTGCATTCATATATATGCAGTAATTAGAAAGCGGGTGCTGCGACCCACTAACCTTTTCCAACTACTTTTAAAGTTCAAATAAGGTCTTTATTACTACTTTTACAACAGACTAGAAATCGTTTCAGAATTTTTCAGAAAGGAAAACATTGTCTTGTTCCGCTAACTGTCTAGTCAGTAGTTCTTCATAAGGAGCTTTGATATACACAACGTCGAGTTGATCTAGGAAAAGTCTACCAATTGCAGTTTCTCTGCTTTCATACATCTCTCTTAAAGGACGAATGTATAAGTGATCAAACTAATGCTTCATCACAACCCCAGCATGGGCTCTTAAAGTAACGGTAATCACCGAAGTTGAGGTTGCTGATCATCAATCTATGTCTGAAAGAGGTTCACGTGTTGCTTGAGACTTGATTACACTGATTCGAACATTTCTGATGGGTATTTCTCTTTTCCTAGCCCTATCTTTTCGTCACACTTAACATTCAACATAGTATAGGAATTTTTCTTTCTTGTGTTTGACATTTTTCTAATGTATTTTATAGTGAACACTATTTGCAGACACCGGTTTGGAAAAACAAAGACAAGAAGTTTAACATGTGAAATAGAGTACTGAAAGACAAAGGTATCAGATCGAAATCTGGTGAAAAATCGCAAAGGGTTTTGTAAATAACCGAATTCAAACAAGACGATACATATGAGGAAATACCGGTGCCTGACTGTTTGAATATGTGGCAAAATGTCATGAGTGAATTCATTACCAATTTTCGTAATAGAATGAGATCATAATACACTTCGGAAAATTAAAAATATACTCATTTACTTTTAACCATCAATAAATAAAGTTCAGCAGTTAATAAAATGATTATCTACCTCATATACAGCATTCGAATAGCCACTGGACGCTAAACTTTCTATTTCATTAGGCTCCAACTGTCTAATATGCAATGCATCATCAAGATCACGTGCAGTACTGGGGTCTATTGTAAAAATACAATTCTTTCGAAAATCTTTACGATATTTCAAATCTTGCCGAAAATTGGCGTATACATCATCCATAGATTTACGTACTGATTCATTAACTTCGTCAGGAAACTGAAAAGCTGCATCTACACCCCAAATGAATCCTGCTCCGACTAGAATTTTATCAGTTTCATCCTGAATTAGATTGGAAGAATCACATGACAATTTTCGTAACAACTCCCTGATAAAAAAATAACAACAACAACAATAACAATAGAACACCAGATGCAATCGAATTACACCCATAATACGAGTAAAGTGGATAAAAGAGCAACTACTCAGCTTTGTCACATATTATTATTATTAATATTATTATTATTATTATTATTATTATTATTATTATTATTATTATTATTATTATTATTATTATTATTATTATTATTATTGGATATTCTCTATCGAGTTGGATAGCACAGGAGGTAAATATTACGAATATGCAATACTGATATCTCGACAACTCATCAGTAACAATCTATGATAAAATATTCTAGTTACATAAACTTGTACAATTCATGGTTAGATTTATTCAATCATAAAATCTCTACACTGTAAGAAGTTTGCTACACTGCATTACAGAGTAAACTAATGCAATACATTACATGCAACTTCCATATAAGAGTAAGGTCAAAACAATAAAGAAAGTGGCAGCAGTCTCTTTTGGTATGCTTTCATTCTTTAAATAGTCACACAAAATAAGGTATATTTTCCCCTAATGTTTAGCTATGATACGATGATGAACTGTATCAAGTAATGACAACAGTAGTGAAGATTATAGCGTAGGGAAAACAACGAGACACATATTGGTAACACTGAACCATATGTTGGAAGTTTAGAAATCGCATTACAGACACAAGAACTTCATTCGGCATTAGAAAGACTAGGATTTCATTTGTGGCTTCTGCCGAAAATGAAAAGGCTCAACTGTTGGCAATATTGATTATTCTCGGAAAACATTCTATAATCTGACAGAATTGAAGGATATCATCCTTAGGATTGTAACCAAACTTTCTAGCAAAGCGGGAACCCACTGAACCGAGAAAACGTTTCAGTAAATGTAGCTCGTATAAGTTACTACGACAAGTAACCCAGACTGCCATGGCAGTGGCAGAAAGGCATAAGTAGTAAGGTGATTAAATGACTAGTTCTCTATAATGAGGAAAGGGTGATAACACTTTATTCGGAGTAAAAATGACAAAAAGTAAACTGAGAAGGCAATAATTTAACTTTTTCAAAAGTAGATGGTTTCTTGAAATCATAATGAAGCATGAAAAAAGGAAATAAATTTGACAGTATTATCCCCATGGCTAAGTTTCCTCTGAATTAACAATTTCATTTCTGAATATAAAGCTAAGTAACTATTGAGTTTCTGAAAATTCATGAAGAAAAAGACCCTGGTTTTCAAGGTTTGATACTTTTTTTCACAAGTCACAACCTTTAAAACGCCAATGATAGAAGCATTGTTCCTCCCCATAAAAAAAAACAGTTGAACAAATTATTTTTATCATTAGAAATCCAAGAATAACAAGTTGCGAATACTAAAAGTAATCACCTACCCTTTTGGGAACATACTCGTATCCGGCCATTCAGTGATACGGCCAATAAAACGAACATTTTTATAGTTTTCTGGATGCCTCTGAAATCCTACAATGAAATCAGACGATAAAGCAACACATATCACGTAACAAAAGTGAGGCAACATGACAATAAATGTTTCTTGTCTATATAACAGTTCGTACCTACCTTCAGGACAGATCTCACGAGGTATAAAGACTCGTGGTAGACGTGTATCGGTTGGTATTAGGACAGCGTTTCTCCAATTACACAATGTAGAATTGAAAGGTTGAATTTCTTTCTGATCATCACATTTTGTGCAAACTGCATCGGACGGATGAGAACCTTGATCAACTTTCGAAGGTGTTTTCTTGGAGGTTTGTCCATTATTAGGAGGTTGAAGATACCCTATACAAGCACGTGAATGTAAGCGTTGTAGGATTCCAACAACACGACCAGTTCTTTGAATAACCGACCACCATGAAGCGTATGCTAGTAGATTATTTTCACCTGACGAATTTATAGGATCGGTAGATGAATCTAGATCCTGTTTAATTTGTTGTGCAAGGGAGTGACCTAAAAGCTGGAAATAATGAATAACAACACTGAAACCATAATCAGTGGAGCATGTTACAAGTTAGTTTGTATAATGTTTAGTGCAATTCTTTGATAGATCTTAGATTTTGCACATGTATCGATATAACAAAACTTTTATTGATGAAAGTGGTGATTGTTTGTTCTCTGAGCTTTGATAACAAAGCTCATCAAATCATCATCATCATCACGAGTTTTAGCGTGGATTTGATAAGGAAACAACGAATTGAATGCGATGTACCTACACTAAAAACGCTCTATGTGTAGAGATGTACAAACGGAAGATAGTTTGATTACCTCTCACTCATAACACCTATGTTGCTTTAATTAAGTTAGCTGAAAAGTAACAAATACAACCAAGATTGTGATAAACATTAGTTTACCTGAAGACTTTGAATAGTACTGGTTTCAGCATCACTACATGTAACCATTATAATGAAACAACTTTGTTAGTTAAACTTTTATTTGTACTGAAAATCAAAGTTTAATACCGATTATTACTCACTGATCGGTGGTTGACAGAAGTATTGGGATATTAACTCATTAAATGGCGTAAGGAACAGGTCACAAATCAACTCACAACACACAAATCTATGAGATTCTATACACATTATGAAAGATGACGAAATGAAACCTTCCGGGAAAAATTTCTTCGTAAGTTTCCTTTTCCCCGGTCATTACTATCATACTCTATCTAATATCTTCAACATCCTCATGATTTCATAGTACATCTATTGATGTTGTCGATATACAGCGTTTGTTACCGGTTAAAGTAATCCTACTTGAAATAGCAATTTTTTGGACACTTTGACAGTGATGTAATGAGAAATTGCACTAACTATGCTAATCTAGCCAAAATCAGCCACCGTATTCGTTCTAATCAACGAAGAAACGGTTATAAGCGAGAAATTTGATTAGTCCCAATCTAAATTGCTTGACATATAAAGACAAACATGAATGAAATGAGTTGAAATGATGGCATTAGAAAAAAGTACAGTATACATACCTGTTCCAACCCTTCAGGTTGAATTTTGATAAACTGTTCGAGGGAAACATATCTTGGTTTCTTGTTCTGTTTAGAGTCTACCATTTCTGTCAAAGACGCTTCATTCACAAAAGAATCAAAAACCTGAAGGGAAAAAAAGCAGCACTAGTACAATTTCCTGCTAGATAATACATGAATAAATACTTAATACGATTGGCAAATGATAATCGATTTTGGAGGTGCCTCCTCGAAAACATACGAAAAGTGAAGGGAAGGTGAGTAGTCACTCAATATCAACATGACACTAGGAATTATTGAGTAGCGGTTTAAGTTACCCCACGCCATCCCACAGGATCAAGTGGGACTGCATTGACATGGAAGATAAGGAAATAAATACGAAACCAGCCAAAACTGGTAGAAAGTCATTAAAAAGACCAAGAAAGAATGGAAGAATACCGAAATGCAGTACAAAGATTAAAGTGAAGAAAGTCTGTGGATACATCTGAGCTAGTAACATCGAGTCTGAACTAGATCACTTACAGTCTCCAATCACTGGTTTCTGCTATCGTACAGACTCCAACCCATAAGTTCATATTTCCCTACATGTCTCGGTTCAACAGCCAAAGACTTCATGCAGTGATGCCACGTTTTATTCTGGCAGTCTTCAACCTTTTCCCACCCCGAACCAACTTCAGACAACATTGTGAGATGGGACATATGATGACTAGGTATGCGCACAAAACATATCCTGAGCAGCTCAGTCGATGAAGGTTCATAACCCCGATAACATCTCGTCAAGCTAAATCTGAGTTCCACCCGTTCTTCACAGTGTTTGCAGGCTGCAGCGATGTGTACGCCTTAGTTCATTAGTACACAAGAAGCTCTTGACATCCGCAACACCCTAAATAACCTACCTATCTAAAAGAGCGAATGACTTAAACACTGATTCAACAGCAGAAAATGGTGAGTTCAAGGATGATCGTTTACATAATCTTATCTAGTCAATGTAGCGAATCTCCAAAATTCACTAAGAGTTCGGAGATCCAGTGACTAGCTCTCATGAAATCACACATGAAACAGACAGTAGTGATACCACTATGTGCTTGACTAGAAGATGAGAACTTCAACCGCGTATTTAAGGAGGAGATACCTAACCATTTTATCTGAAGACGACAGTGTTTCACTTCCTGACGATAACGATAACGAATTTGAAAATGAAGGTTGGTCAAAATATTCAGGCTCTAGAAGACGTCAAAAACTTAATATATATGCGCCACTGCAACCGATTTTCAGCCATTTCACGAAGAATCCTCAACTACTGGTTCCTTTTGTCTCAGGAAACCCAATCAGCTAGTCTACATTGCCCCACACGACTCAGACCAACAGTTAGGCACTTCAACAGCTAGTGCAACATCTTCATCTGGACACCTTGAACCCACTTCTAATCTGATCCAACTCTAAAAGCATGATATGTCGAGGTAGGTGGCAAATTGGCATGCGCAGTGCATATCCAAGCCAGGTTCACAACTGAGTGACAGAATCAACGAAGAACGTCGCACATAGGTGTAGCGGCTCAAGCTGCCATAATTCAAAGTAATACAAAAAGAACAGATGTATGGAAAAAGTTAATCAAACAAGATAAATTAGTGTGAGACAATAAACAAACTGAAGATAATCGTTATTGCGAATATTTAAGACTTAAAAGACGCCAAGGAGTGAACACATCTCCCCCATTGTGACTGATTCTCGACAATGTCACCAAGAGTGGTCAACATCTCATTCCTTTCGATTAGGGGACTCCAGTAAGAGACTTAATCGACTGGTGCCACATATTGACCTGGTCACTCTGAGTCCTCTTCCAACTTAATCCAACTTCCCTAGCATGGCACGTTGAGGTAGGCGGTGGCTCGGGATATGCAGTACATGTCCAAGCCATCTCAGTCGACTACGGTTCAAAACCTAATTAGTCCACTTGCATTTCTGGCCTAACACATTTCGCATGACCTCAACACTGCTCACACGATGATTCCATCACAATCCAATAATGCTACAAAAACACCTGTGATCGAAAACTCTATGATCGTTCCATGTCTTCTGAACAGCTGTACAGTAAGAAAGAAAGGACCACAGAAAAATACACTCGCCCTCTGACAGACATTCGAATATGTCGCCAGTCGGTGCCATGGATAATGCAGGTTGGAAAATGCCAAGCAGCCCTACTGTATCCAAGATAACATTGCGTTGGCAACCATCCTGTTCGGGAGGCTAGTGTAACTCCCTAAGTCGGTGAATTGGTCGACACATTCCACCACAATTCACTCACTATCCTTAAAATAGGAATAGTTCCACACCAGTCCTCAAGCATCAGATTACGTTTGACAGGTGACAGTGTGACAGCGAAACACATACCAACCAGACATACTCACATTTATGCTCAACACATCCACAAGACTACGCATTTTGTCAGTGTCTTCACCTACAAGGACAATAACGTCTGCATAATACAAGTCAACCACATTAACCTTCAGGCAGCAGGTCAATCCCTGTGAACTCACACTTAACTAACGTTACGTCCATTATTACGTCTACAGAAAAGTTGAATAAGAACAGTGACACTCGGAATCTCTAAAGGACACCGACAGATGTCGTCAATTCACATGACAACACTCCATAAACCTTGACACAGCTGTGTGAGTTCGACTAGACAGTTTTGATTAGCAACATATACTTTCTTGGTACTTCGTTCACACTCGGACACTACCACAACACCTCACGGATGACTGAGTCGAATGCCATCTTCAGATCATGATATGTGGCAAACGTCAGTCACAGGCCGGTAGGTATGACCATGTTCCAAAACCTATCGGAGAGTGGAAATGTGATCGATGCATTCCACATCTAGATCTGAAACATCTCGATTTCTCGAGTTTTCTATCCTATAGATACAGATAGGCGTCGAATAACTGTGGACTTTAAAATCTTGGACACAATATTAATCAAAGTAATTGCCGTGTGGCTGTCACAACAAGTCTTCTCTCTCTTCTCATAGACTGAGATGATCAGTGAAGTACACCAGTCTGACGACACAACCTTTAATTCTCATACACTTCCTATTACCTCTGTCACTGTAATTAGCAATTTCATACCTCCATCTGTCAAAACTTCACATGGAAAACTGTCAGTTTACGCTGCTTCCCATCGTTTCAGGTTCGATATAGGATCGACATCAACGTGCCATTCAGGTTTAGACTCGGTGTTGAGTAACTGAAGCGTTGCTGTTGGCCAGTTAAACTGTGCTTCAAAGTCTTCTGCCCAATATTCTAATCGCTCCTCCTAGGAGTTTATCAGCGTCCTATCCTCTTTGCTGATGGTTTCTCTGACGATCGTCTTTTTCTTGCTAGTATCCACAATGAGCCTAAATAGTTGCCGTGTTCTTATACGTTAATGCTTTCTCAGCCTCACTTCCACCACCCATCACCGCCTGAGATCATTACGGAGACTATTATCTAACTTATGTTTGAGTTGTTTTCACTCTTCACCTTGGTCAGAGCCCGCTAGAATTAGTCTTATCGCATCAATTCGTTGCGATGACATCGTGGAAATCTAATGATGTTTCCTAAACTTCTAGTGTAGGTTAACAGTTGTCTTTACCGGTGTTCTTACAGCAGACGCCAAGTTTCCTCAGTCTCAGCATTCTTGTCATGTACAGGTGAATGCTTAGCTAACTCCGACCTAAATGCCTACTTCCTCTTCAGGAGCCCGTTCTAACACGCCTGATCGGAGTGTGAATTGGTACTCCATAAAAGTAGCAATCCACCATCGATCCAACGATGACTGATAACAAGCAATATGATCTATCTGTGTTTATCGTTGATTCGATGTTGCCGTATTCCATGAGAGAGAGATAGTGTCTCTCCTTATCCTGTTTGAAGTTAGTGCTGACCAGAAACAAGTGGTTGTCATAGCCAAATGGCACCAGACGATCCCCGTTGTAGGTTTACTGGTATGAGATTCCGTAAATACCTCGAGGATGCCATTCCAACTCCGTCAGCTTCCGTATTCCAGCGTTAAAGTTAGTGCTAATCAGAAACGAGTAGTTGTCAGAACCAAATTGTACCAGAATAGGAATCAAGTTTTGATGGCTTCGATCACTGGTAATGTTTGCAGAGTGAGGTTGGGTAAGGCATAAGAAGCTTAATGTTAGTATCAGAGAGTTAAGGTAAAGGAGAAGACAGAGTTGAAGAGGATGGTCTATGTTTGATTGAGTCTTGTTTAGTACTGGAAGCGTGAGGGCGGTTGGCACTTCCTGGCTGCCCACACCGTGGAAGGCCATTTCTTTTTAATGTACCTGAAAGAGAAAAAGATTTGTGACCACACAGCTCATGGGAAATCTGCTTGAAACCTGCTACACACAGCCTTTTTCCGGTTGTTGTTTACAGGTTTGGTTGTTCTAACGTCAGATAGAGAGAATCCACACCCCCGGCACCAGGATGCCGTGGGGCATGGTGGTGTTATTTTTGAGGCCGGCCTTTTCTAACTCGCCACCCTTCCCACAGAGAAGGCAGCATCAGCGTAGTCCTCCTGGTCATCCAAGGAAGACACCTTTCTGCTGTTACACTCCACCCAGCTAGCAGCAGGATGACTTCGGCCTCAGACTCCCATTGAAGTTTAGTATTTTACACCACAATGGTAACTGTTTTTTTTTATTTTACCACTATCCAACCGACCTTTTTGGCATAGTAGGGCCTGGATGGAACAAGTGTTCCAGCTAGTGTAACTCATTAAGTCATTGTGATATGCAAGCCCAACCACCACGTCAAGATATCGGCTAACGGTCGGGATTATAAATATCTGATGCACAGTTGTTGCGAATTTCCTGGAAGGATTTATGCACCGAATCTGATTTAAGCATTATAATATTATTCACAGTATGATACATACCCGTCATTTGAACGGATATTTATACATTGGTTTTCCAGGAGAGAACAGAATACACATCTAGGCTTTTTAAAACCAGGACGGTATACAGTCTCATTCTGTGGCGCAACCACACGGGTGCCTTCACCCCGTACCGTAAAGACAAAACGGGATTGGATTAGGAGGCTCAGGGCATGTAGGTCAAGAAAAGATGCCAGTCCATGAAGGCTTTGACTATTGGTCTGAGCCGAGTAAGGATATGTAAACTACCTGGCTAGGGTCTCCGAGATAATAAGTACCAATGATTGGAGAATCTTAGTGTCATGGCTGGTAACCGAATACAATGGGGCAGATGCGTTCAGTCTTTGATATCTTCGAAAGTTTGAACATTTCAACCAACCTTCCCTATTTTTGATCCTTTCACCTCCCATATATTTTGTCTGCTCTAGCATTACTTTTTTCATCAACTTGTTCTTTGCACGCTACTGTTAAGTGTAGCAACTTGAACCGATGTACTTTGCAAAGTTCTACGCTGATTTCCTCTGTCTCGTTGTTTACAACCAGCACGGACAAAGACAAAGGAGTTGAGGAAATATAGCTTGGTGGCTCCGGGTTCTCGAAATAACCAAACTTATTAGCCCCTTTCTGCGCCTCACTACCCAGAATGATTACAGTGAGGAATGTTTATAGCAAAGTAGCCTAATGAAGATAAATAGCATATACCTCTCATATTTGTTTTCACCATACAGTCACTACAATAACTTGACATTCAGAGTTGTTTGTATTTGAACTGAACAACCAAGGGAACATTTTGCTACTAAACACCCTGGGACTGTAACTTAGTGATATATGAAATCATCTTCAAAATACTGCAGCATACATTCGAACTCAGCCGAATAGGTCGAGTTCTTACTTGCTTTAGTAAAATGTGTAAAACTCAAGAAACAGTACAAGAACTTGATAGTCACAAATATTAACCACATGTAGTATACACCACTAAATCACACTTTAATCCTGAAAACCCACCACTTTTATAAAGGAAGGGTGAGAATTTCAATTATTCTATCATGGATATCCTAGGTAGGAAAACAAAGTTGGCCTAGCTAGTAGTCGTTTCACAGTTCAACTAGTAAAAACCTGGATAAGTAACACAATGGCATTTCACTTAGTCAAACCATAGTTCAGATTTACTTCTAACTCCACTACTGGTGTATTAGGAGAGATATTATTTTTAAAAGCAAAGCAAACACTCAGTAAAAGCGGAAAACATACCCTCCAGTTGCGCTTAGGTTCCAACAAGACAGCAACGATATCGTTAGGTAGTGCTCGGTTCCTGGAAACCAAGGTTGAGATATATATATCAGCATCGCCAGCCTTTTAACTTTCAGTGAGCTTAGTTAAAACTATATTTACCGGGTGCTTTATGTATCCATCTTCGAAGTTTCTTGGATTAATACGTAGGTTGCCCTGTATAAAAGAACTCCAAATCAGTCAGAGTAACTATTAAAGCAATATTAGAAGATTTCCACAAACTGATATAACAACTAGATCGCTTAAATCAAAATAGAGGAGGTTGATCCCACCTTCTTTCAAAAAGTTTCTGATGATTAAAACGACGTGAAATATCCATTCCGCCATAAATTATTAGTTGTTTTAAAAACTACTACTAAGTCAGTGCAACACGAAACCAAAATGTTTTAGAGACGCTGATTTTTGCCACATAAGATAATAAGACCAGTCATGAATTTCATTAATGCATTTCAATTTTCCTGATAAGCTTCAACAGACGAAACTGTTTGCATGATGTCATAAATATAGTCCACTACATAGAAGGTGTATTAAAATAATCACATCTTCATAAATTAGGAAGAGAACATAACAACATTTATTTCATGAAGCCCCAAGAACTTTTGCCGAAATATATTACGAAACAGAATCACAAGCACACACGTCTGTATTGAAGGGCTATTTAAATATCCAGTTCATCCTAACGAGCTGATAACGGTTATCTCCTGAAACTTGCATAAAACAATCATAAGTTCTCATCTAAGAGAAATCCTCTGACTTTGAAGCCGTTGATATAACCTAGTCATAGATACGAAGAACGGATTATGCACCATAACATTAGTATCAGTCAACTATATATATATATATATATATATATATATATATATATATATATATATATATATATATATATGCAGATGCATATAGAGAATACAGACCAAGAAAAAAACAAAATTTTAAAAGCTGGGCAAAAAAGTACCACACTAACCGACAAAAGTTCCCCTTGTTTGACACCCACAACAATGTCTTCATGGGACCAGTGGGGAGAATATGCACTAGTTGTTGGTGTTTTACTCGGACTAAGGATATCATTAACCGGACAACCAGGTTCAATAGCTTGTCCAACAGACTTTAACTGCTGAACAAATGTCCGAGGGTATTTGCGACATCTTTTCCGCTTCGGAGTTATAGCCTATGAAAATAAGAAAAGTAATTGTGGCAGTTCAACTTATACTCCAAACTTTTTATCACATCGATTAGATTGCAAACTAAACGGTAACACAAAATCACAACCAATTAATGAGCCACCAGAACTGTTGCTATTTACTGCGTTATGAAATATACAATTCTCTGATAGCGTACGTTGATGACACGAATTAACAAATGCTCCGTGGAATGGATTGTGATGATGAGAAAATGAGGTGTTTTGTGACGAGGGTCACATATTAAAACAAAACGAATAAAAAAAGCGAACATACATTGTAATTAATAGAATTAAACACATATCTAAAAAAGGAATGACGTTTCAAGTCTGCAGTTTGACAACGTTTAAATGAAACACGAAAATTTAGCACAACTATAAAATGATGGTGTCAAGATCCAGACGGTGGAAAGATGCAAAACTAACTGTTTGAAAATTATGTGACGATTGACACGCTAAATGGAACTGAAACAAAAATTCTAGACTCCATAGGCATGCAATTGGCGGGAAGATTAAAAAAACAGTGACTACATTATCCTTCGACCCGGCACATGGTTGCCACCTTGAAGTGGTGGTCGGGCTTGCATATCACAATGACCCAACGAGCTATGCTGATGGAACACTTACTCCCCGAGGTCCTACCATACCAGAAAGGTCTGTTGGATAGTGGTTAGACGAAAAGCAGTTACCGTTGTGGTTTAAATTACTACACAATGATGGGGGTCTGGGGCGAAGTCATACTGCTGTCAGCTAGATGGGATGTGACAGTAGTAAGGTGTTTCCCTTGGATGACCAGCAGTACAATGTTGCCTTCTCAGTGGAAGCAGGGTTAGAAAAGGTTAGCCCCCAAAATAACATACTCTACCACGCCCAACGCTCTCCTGGGCCAGCGGTGTTGGTTCATTTGTCGTTTCCTTTCGACCATCTGGCCCCAAAAATACAAAAGTTCAAGATAATCATACGTGTGATAGGCCTCAAGCAGATATCCGATGGGCTCTGTGGTCACACAAATCTCTTTCAGGTATCTTAAGAAGAAATAGCTTTCCACGGTGTGGGCAATCGGAAAGTGTCAACCGCCCTCACAACTCGATCAGCACTCTAGTTCCCCAAGACCGCTATCCACCTCCCCCATCATTACCTTGTAATCTTCCTTCACGTCTCTCAACTAACGATACTACATCATCTTCAATTTCTCCTACCTCTGCAGCCTTCGACAACGATATGAGTCCACAAAACAGCATCCTTGGTCTCCTCAAACTACGCTCCAACCTACATATTCCAGCCTTCAATATCCGCAACCTTCGTCAAACTGGTCAACAGGCTTCGTTGGCAAAGACTCTAGCAACTCGGGGCATGGGTGTGTGCTGTGTTTGTGAAGTACGCATACAGGACCCAAGTACGGTTGTTCACTTGACCTCTTCCGGCCAATCTGGTGAATCCATGAAATTCACCCTTCGAGTTTCTGGAGATTTGTTAGCTAGCTCTCGTGGTCTGGCAGGTGTAGGCACAGCATTGAGCACTAGGGCAGAAAACTCGCTACTAGACTACATCCCAGTTGATAGTCATCTCTGGGCTATCCGACTCAACGGCACAGTGAGAACTAAAAGGAATAGTGAGACTCGCCGTTCTCTTTGTAATCTCTGCTTACACACCCACTGACTGTAGTTCGGATGAAGTGAAGGATGAGTTCTACCATAAACTGTATAGCCTCCTCTAGAAAGTCAAACGTTCGGACGTGGTGGTTGTTGCAGGTGACCTCAATGCACAGGTGGGTAGACTGAGTGAGGCAGAAAGGCACTTAGATGGCACTTTCAGAGTTCCGGCTGAACGTACACATGACGATGATCGCCTACTACAACTACGCTCAGATAACCGTCCATTTTTAGCTAGCACAAATTTCAGACATAAAGAAAGACACTGTCTAACGTGGCATCCATCGGGCTCAACTTACAGATGGACACAAATAGACCACACTGCTATTAGTCATCGCTGGAGAGGATCGGTGGAAGACTGTCGCTCCTTCTGGAGTACATGTTTGGATAGCGGCCACGCATTGGTCCAAGTGCGTATATCCCTGCGTCTCAATGGACGTAAGGAAAACTGGGCAACAAAACCACTACGAGTGCTGCCGAGCAACGAAAACACCAAAGCCGTGTTCAGTGAGAACTTGGATAGGCAGTTATCGGAACAGAAGACTATCACTCACCCAGAACAAGCTTGGTGCCATCTCCAGTCTGCTGTAAAAGCAACGGTGAGGACCGTAGCCAACTCCGAAAGAGTCTCTAGAAACAGCCAGTGGATATCAGCAGTCTCTTCCAAACTAATGGATGCGCGTGAACGCATCCCTGGCTGCAGGCTCTCAGTACAATGAAGAGCAAGCGCAACTTGAAAGTAGATCAGGAAAAGTCTACACAACGACCGCAAACAGTGGTGGGCAGCGAAGGCTAAAGAGATGGAAAAGGCAGTGGCAATGGGTAACAGTAGACAGCTATTTAGACTTATTAAGGAAACTGGGGGAGGAAAGGTCAATAACAGTTAGTGAGGCCATAGCGGAGAAGGACGGATCTGAGATCCATTCACAGAGGAGACGACTGGAATGATGGGCAAAATACTTCGAGGAACAGTTCAACTGATCTCCAGCCACCATTGCGTTGCCCGCCATACAGTCAAATCCTGAATGCAACATTCAGATATGCCCTCAAACACTAGCGGAAGTCGAGTAGGCAGTAGGTAACCTGAAACGAGGAAGGTCGACGGGACCAGCAGACTGATTATCTCAGACTTCAACAAAGGCGAGAAGTCCCCTTGTGATAACCACACAATAATCAGCCTGACGAACATAGCATCCAAGATCCTAGGTTCTACAATTCTTCGAAGCCTGGGTGGAACTCGGAAACAGCAGGCCCGAGAAAACCAGGCAGGCTTTAGACCCAGCCGCGGATGCAAGACCAAATACTGACATTGCGCCAGGTCCAGGGACACAGACACGCTTTCCGACGCCCGACAATAGCAGTACTTCTCGACTTGAAAGCGGCATTCGACTCCGTTCACCAAGAAGTCTCATGCCAATGTCTCATTGAAAGGCATGCAAAGTAAGTACATCACCACCTTATTAAAGGCCCTCCACTAGAACACTTGTGGGCGTGTTACAGCCTACGGTGAGATGTCCAGGGGGCTATGCTCATCCAGTGGTGTCCGTCAATGGTGCCCACTCTCCCCATTCTTATTCAATTTTATCATAGATATTCTTATGCAGGTCTCTCTCTCGTCACCAGGTTACACAGACGTTGACCTAATCATAGGAGAATTTTCGTTAGACCTAGAATATCCAGATGACATAGTCAGTCCTGTTAAGTGAAGACACTGACAAGATGCAGAGTCTTCTGAACACTTTGAGTGGCAATTTGAGAATGTTTGGGATGCGATTCTCACCACCCAAATGCAAATTGTTGCTCCACCATTGGTCTTCAACGGTGCCCCACCGCGGTTAACAATAGAGAGTGAAGTGGTTGAGTTTGTCGACCACTTCACTTACCTGGGAAGTAAGATGAGCCCTGTGTTGGTGGCTCAGCGGCTGATAAAATCTCAACACAGATAAAAAAGGCTCGGTTGGCTTTCGACAACTTACGCCACCTGTGGAGCCCCCGCGACATTTGATTGTCTATTAAGGGTCACGTGTACTGCACAACAGTCCAGTCTGTTTTACTGTATGGCTGTGAAACATAGCCGTTGAAGGTGGAAGACATGAGAAGGCTAGCTTCAGGTGTTTGACCACCGTTGCCTTTGCAGTATATGCCGTATTCCGTGGTGTCACCACATGAGTAATGCAGAAGTCAGGTGTAGAGTTTTAGGGAGAAAAGGTAAGTCAGTTGATACGGTTGTGAAACTTCATCTACTGAAATGGTTGGGACACGTGTTACGTATGCCTAGTCACCGATCGCCTCGTCACACAATGTTGGCCGAAGTAGGTCCAGGCTGGAAAAAGACACGAGGGGGCCAGACTAAAATATGGCATCAATGTATGAAGTCTCTGACTGTTGGTTTGAGCCATGTGGTGCGATGCAGACTAGCCGGTTGGGGTCCGCGGGACAAGAGGAACTAGTGACTGGAGATTCTAGGTGATATGGCTAACAACCGATGTCAGTGGCGCAGATGTATACACACATTATCCTTATCTTAACACTATACCGATTCTCACCATTACGTCACTTTGTTTTTTTCTTCTCGTACTTTATATTTCTTTTGATTGAATTTCCCTATCTTAATCTTGCACCTCACTACCTTTTTACTCGATGTACTGATATGAAGTGTGGCAACTCGGACCGCTACTCAATGATGCATGGTCCTACGTTAATATTGATGATGATTCTTCGACTTCAAAAGTTTGTAACGGAATAGCATTGAAAAGTCGCCAAGTTTGACAAGACATTACAGCTTTTTCTTACGAATAACAACCTCACGTGGGTAGTGGCAAAAAGATACGCATAGGAGTGGATAATGCATTCATAATATATAATGCATTCAAAAAAGCGACCATACTGGAATCCGAATTCTAAATAATCTTCTTGATTACAAGGCTGTCAATCATTCTCATGAATGATGCATCAGATCAGTAAGTGGAGGCAAGCATCGACCGTAAATTTCTTGATGGCACAAAAAAGAAAAAAGTTCATGTTACAAAATCTCCAAGTTATCTACAACTGTGAAGAAATTGTGTCAGAAGCCTTATTTATAAGTTAATGAAGAAATTCTATATAATACCGTATAGCTGGTATTTCAAACTAATCACCATTTGCTACTTCTGGTTCGAAGAAAGGTATCTTGTTCTGAGTTGAAAACTACCACAATACCACTGAGTAACAAATTCACCGTAGAAAGATCATCAAAAACGAACATCTGCCTAGCTGGTGGCTTTTCATATTTGATTAATCCTCAGCTTAGAATCAAAAGGAAACCATCACTAGTCATTCCAGAACCGGGAATTGAAGACC